TGGCAAGACTCCTTTTGAAGTGTTATATGGTACCACCCCCTCCTTTCAACACTTACGTGTTTTCAGCTGTCCTTGTTATGTGCATAACCAAGCTAGGGGGGCGATAAGTTTGCACCTAGGAGTAGAAAATATGTGTTTGTGGGTTATCCTACCACTCAAAAGGGTTGGTTGGTTTTTGATATAGAACAACAAAAATTTTTGGTTTCTCGGGATGTGGTTTTCTGTGAATCTGAATTTCCATATGCTACTATCTCTTCAAATTCTGAGGATTTTTCCTCTAGTTTGGTTGATACGGGTCCGCCTATCTTTCCTGTTGATGATGATGTTATTTCTGGTGTTTCTGATCATGTGCATGTTGTTGTCCCGTCTTCGTCATCTGTTCCTACTGAATCCTCTATCTCTCCTACTACTGACATGCCCTCAGACCCGTCTACCTCCGTCTCTTCTTCACCACCTTTGGGCCGTGGTATGCATACTAAGTTTCCATCTACTCGCCTTCATGGTTATGCTCGCCACACTGTCAGCTTCCCTCCTTCTCCTTCTCCAGCTTCGTCTTCGTCCTCAGGTACTCCTTACCCTATAACACAATTTGTAAACTGTACTTCTTTTTCATCCCAACATCAGGTTTTCCTGGCAGCAATCACTGCAGGTGTTAAGCCTCGTACCTTTTGCGAGGCTATGCAGGATGCGCAATGGGGCTCGGCTATGAAAGCTGAAATTCGTGCTTTGAAACAGAATCATACTTGGGATCTTATTTTCCTTCCTCCTGGTAAACGCGCTATTGGCTGTAAATGGGTTTTCAAAATTAAATATCTTGTTGATGGGTCTGTTGAGCGATATAAAGCCCGGTTAGTTATCCTTGGCAACAATCAGGTTGAGGGTATTGATTATACTGAGATGTTTGCGCTTGTTGTCAAAATGGTTACTGTTCGTACTTTCTTGGCTATTGCTGCTGCCAAGCATTGGGAGTTACACCAGATGGATGTCCACAATGCCTTTCTTCATGGCGACTTAGGTGAAGAAGTGTACATGAAGCTTTCTCCCGGCTTTCACTCTAACACTTCTAATCAAGTCTGTCGTCTTCGGAGGTCTCTTTACGGTCTCAAGCAAGCTCCCCGCTGCTGGTTTGCCAAATTGGCTAGTGCCTTGAAGGTTTATGGTTTCACTCAGTCTTCTGCTAATTATTCGTTGTTTACTTTTCATCATGGTGATGTTACTCTCAGTATTTTAGTTTATGTGATTTGGTCATTGGTGGGAATGATTCTGTTGCTAATTCTACTTTCAAGGCCTATCTCAGTCGTTGTTTTCACATGAAGGACCTTGGAAAGCTTAAGTATTTTCTTGGCCTCGAGGTTGCCCGTAATGCCTCTGGAATTTTTCTCTGTCAACGGAAGTACACCTTGGATATTCTTTTAGAGGTGGGGTTATTGGGTGGCAAACCTACTACATTTCCTACGGAGTAAAATCATTGCATTCCGCTAGATTATGGTCCATTTTTCGCTGAGCCTAAACGTTATCGTCGATTGGTCGGTCGATTGATTTTACTTGGTGGTTACACGCCCTGATCTCTCCTATTCTGTTCATCTTTTGGCTTAGTTTATGCAACATCCATGACAGACTCATTTGGAGGCGGCACTTCGCGTTGTTCGCTATTTGAAGGTGTATCCAGGCCAGGGGATTCTTCTTCGTTCTGATAGCGATCTTCAGTTGTATAGTTGGTGTGAATCTGATTGGACTAGTTGTTCTCTGTCTCGCCGCTCTCTTACTGGCTGGTTTGTTACTCTTGGTTCTTCTCCTATTTCTTGGAGAACTGAGAAGAAGCAAGTTGTATCGCGTTCCTCTGCTGAAGCTGAATATCGCGCTATGGCCTGTACTGTTTGTGAGATAAAGTGGTTAAAAGCGTTGTTGTTTAGTCTTGGTATTGGTCATTCCCAGCCCATACAACTTCATTGTGATAGCCAGTCTGCTCTTCATCTGGTGGCTAATCCTGTTTTTCATGAGCGTACCAAGCATATTGAGGTAGATTGTCATTTCCTACGCGATGCTTTTACCTAACGGCTTATTTCTCCTCGCTATGTTTCTACCCATAATCAGTTAGCCGACATTTTTACTAAGGCCTTGGGTCACCGCCAGTTTTGCGTTTCCTCTTTCCAAGTTGGGCATTTGTAACTCGCATGCTCCAACTTGAGGGGGGGGGTAATAGAATATATGTATGTATATAATCTTCAGGGGTAGACTAGTGATTGTTTAGTAAACCCTAACACTTAGGGTTTCTGTTTGTACGTATATATATATGGCCGATTTGGCCCTGTGAATGCAACATGTTGAATGGCCGCCATACTATATGTTCTTATAACATGTATTTGTCCTTAGGAGCAATTTTAGACTTTGAGAAACTTATTTATTCCATTCAAAATTTCAACACTCCATTTACACTGCAAAAGCAAGAAGGTTGAGTGTCAAAATATTAAATCATCGACAATGAACTTCAAATTTAGAGAGTGTTTCAACCTTCCACAGCTTCAGTTCTCAATCAACGGCGTCACTTAATGGAAGTCTCATCAAAGAAAATAAAAGTCTTAGAGAAAAGCTAGCATACAAGTTCATCATAGCATTACCAACAATGGAAATTAAACGCAAACAAATTGAGCTCCTTCATCTTAAAACAAAAGAAACAGTCTAACAATCAAAGAAAAACAGGAAAGAAAAATGAAATTCACCTCAAGTTTAGGCGCAGCCGATAACCACATCAAATTTGCCACGATTCTACCCATTTTAATTAGCAGCTCACCTTTTCTTTTCTTTCTTTTTCCTTTTTTATTTTTTCCCCTCTTCTTAGGATGAAGACAAAATCCCCTCAACTATATTCCAAAGACTAATTCCCCCTTAAATTTTTTATATGGACAAAAACTCCCCCTTTTTTTTGGTGAAAAACAGCACTGAAGGCTAACGCCTCATATTACATTAGATGACTTCCTAGAGTCATTTACTAATAGCAAATCAATACAGCTTCGGAGAACATCAGAAAAATATAACCCCTTATTTAAGCCTAATGCATCCTTAACGATTGTATCGACGCACAAGTTAGTATCCCTACCTGTATGTACAAAAACTCCCTTTTAACTGTCACAAGTTTGAGTTCAACGATCCATGGGTGTAAAATGGCCAAAAAACCCATTAGTTACCCCCCCTTTTTTTTTATTCCTGAAAAAGGAAGGAAACTTTCGGAAAGAGAAGAAATAGAAAAAATTTCGGATAGGGTAAAATGACAAGAGTCGGTCTCCCAAATCCAAATCCATAAACTACCTGGTAATCTTCCTAGTACGAATCGAGGAAATATTTGCTCTATATTAGTACTAGTGATGTACCCGGGCCCAATATATCTGTAAATTTTAGAAATGTTTAAAAATATTTTATAAGTGTTACTTCTTAAATATAAATAAACTTGATCAAATATATGTCTTGAAGTAAATGCAAGACAAAATATAAAAGCATCCTCATAAGTTTAAATATTAGTAAGATAATTTATTGATGTTCACCATTGGTTGTGCCAAATCAATACTTAGTTTGGGCGATTTATAATAGCTTTGTAATAAGCTTCCTCCCAAGAGTATACACTTAATTGTTGAAACTATTTCTTCCAAAAGTTTATAAGTAGTAAAATATCAAAAATATAATTTTGAAACTGGTTAATTGATGAAATTGGTTGATCACAAATATGAGAATGAAAATAATGTAAATTTGCATAGGTTTCAAGTTATACCAAAAAAGAACTTACCTCACCATGGCAAATAAAAAAAAAAAAAGAAAGTAAAAGGTAACCCATTTAAAATTGAGAAATTTATTTTTTTTCTGTAGGTAAACATGTTGTATAAAATACAAATAAACGTAGAAACATCATTCTTTCCCTCTCCGCTTCAAATTCATAAAAGGCTTCCATATAAATTAGTTAGAAGAAGTGACATGAACTATTTATATGATGAGGAACTAAAAAAAGTCTAAAAACCAAATCCAAAAAAGTATATTCTTGAAAGGCCGAACATCAAAAAAAAGCGCTTCATTTGTAAATAAAATAAAATAATAATAATAATAATTGGTCAACTGGGAGTATGAAACAAAAACAAAAGTAATTAAACAAAGAAAAAAACACACTTCATAACTGACCATATACGAAAAAAACATGAGACTCCATAATTAAAAAAAAAAAACCAGTCTAATTGAATGAAACATAAAAAAGAAATTTAAAAAACCACACTTTGTAACAAAAATCCAATTAATCAATTCAATCCAAACAGAACTAAAATCATACAAAAATTCTAGGCTAACTAACCATATAAGAAATCACATCATATTACCTGACAACGGCTACGGTAGCTGTAACGGATGGACACATAAAAATAATAGTAATAACACTATTCTTGAACGGGAAAAACAAAAAATAATAAAAACCAAACAAATGATCTGCGGAAATAAAATTATTTAAATTTTAATACCTGTAATGACACCACCATAATGGCCGAAGCAAGATCAATGAGAATTTTTTTTTCCTTTGTTTTATATAGTGAGGTAAAGAGAATATTTTTTGAACTTGAAATTTTATCAGATTAGGATGTAGTTGATCATCATTAATGAAAAAATTTAACATGGTAATAGAAAAAGAGTATATTTCCACACATATTCTCAATTGGTGATTGATGAGAAATTTGTTTTTTTTTCTTTATTGTGGAGAAGAGATTGATTAGGGAGTCGATTGACGTGAAAATGGGGATGAGAATTTGGGTTTTTTATGAACACGTAGTTTTTTTTTTTTTTTTTTTTGCGAAAATAGGAGTTGAAGGTGGATTTGGACTGCATTTGCGTTTTAAGTCTAGGCGATATGTAAATAAAAATTTATTTTAAAAATATGATGTGAAAATGCCACATGCCAAATAGTAGTGGTTTCTCGAAAGCGTGGTTTTTATTTCTAATACAGTAAGATGTATACCAGTTGCTACGAATCAAAGTCCTCCTCCGGCCGACCAAATCGCTTGAGTTCCTTGTTATCTTTCTTTCGTTTTACCTATCGATCTTAGATCTGACGATTCGAGAATCATGGTGAAAAAAGCTGCGAGAGATTGGTCGGGCCTCCCACACGAGATGTTGGTGGAGATAGTCACACGGATTCCGGCGGCGGAAGATTTCACGGCGTTCCGAGGGGTTTGTACCAGTTGGCGAGCCGCCGCAAGCAAGGACAACTACGGCAAGTCGTTCTCAAGAATTCCTCCGTTGCTGATGCTCGCAGAAAATGCTGGGGACGAACGCGAATTCTACAACCTGTCGAGCCGTAAGATTACTATGGGTTTATCAGTCCCTGGAGCAAAAGGTAAATTATTGATTGAAGCACGATTTGGGTGGTTATTCACTGTTGTTGTTTCGTCGGGTGAGGTTAATTTGTTGAACCCTTTCTCTGGTGCTCAAATCCCACTGCCCAATTTTAAAACATGCCCTGAATTTCGCGATATTGATTGGAATAGTAGGCTTTTATTTATGAACAGAGCGATTCTGTCTGCTAATCCTTGGTACACCTCAGACTTCACCCTCATGATTATTTTCGGTAGTACGCGGTACTTGGGTTTTTGGAGGCCTAACAACTTGTCATGGACCCGGACAAAATCATCACCCCTTTATTGTGCATTGGCTGGGGCAGGATTGAAATCACCTTGACAACCCGAAACAAATACGAGCAAGATTTGTGTACCTTATCAGTCGATATTCTGTTTACATTAAGTTAAAAGTAATTTAACCTTCGGGAAGTTATTCATATCTTACTTGAATTTTGTATTCATAATAATAGAACTTGAGATCCTTACAAAGAATTCATAGTTCTGCGTTTCTTTTAGGTGCTTTAATTTATTTGTTATTTTATCAAAATATAATGTTACAATTGATTAATATATCTCTCTGTACTTGAACGTTACAAAGTAGCTGTTGTATTAATTTTTTACGACATAGAAATCATGTTAACCAGTATCAATCCATATTTTATATGGAATTATTTAGTCTTAAGGCCTTTTTTCCTTAATGTTTTTGGTTATAGGCTCTTCTCAAGGATGTTAATTTTTTTTTTTTTTGTTGGGTCTTCAAACCATTCTCGAAAGCCAGTTCAAAATGCATCTCAAAGATATAAAGACACTTAATTCCAATATGAATAAAAGTGAGGTATTCGTCCACTACACTTTTTGACATTTCAAGTTTGATAGCTCTCCCTCAGCTTCGATTTAATCCAAGGATAGATTGAACACTTACATTTCACTTGAGTTTTTTCGGTTTGTGTTTAAGAAAATATATGAGGACAATTGGAGCACTAAAATTCCAATTCTAGTAAATGCTTACACAAAATGACCTCAAAAAACTACTCGTTCATGGTAACATGTCATTTGAAACCCACCGCATAAAGCCTGCATCGTAATCAAGCGGCATTTGCACCCAACATGCAAGCAATAAGCTAGTGTTGGAATTAAACATCCTCTTATTTGCTTTTTTGTCCATGCCTTATTCTTCCTTGTTTATCCGTCATTTTTAGAGAATCTGGAAAAAGTAATGCAGACAAATATAGTAATAGCAGACTAATGCATTATTAAATACGGTTTTTGCATTTTTCACATTTATTGTGTTCTTCAAGTTATCAAAAAATATTGTTAATGTTTTTTTTAATTAAAAAAATAGACTAAGTAAAATTTAGGACAAATCAAAATGGCTTAAGGAGTGGTGGGAGTATTTTTTTATTAATAAATTAAATTAAAAAATAATCAATTTATATTTACTAATTATTTAGTGTTTTTAATCTTTTATTAATTGTATATTTGTTAATTTTTTGAGAAACTTAAATAAATTTTTTTTTTATGTATATAGTTTTGTAGCTTCCATAAAATTTATCAATTATATAGTTTATTTTGTTAATAATAATTTTTATATTTAATAATTATTTAGTTTTCTAGTTATTGTTTTATATGCATTTATCTATAGTTAAGGTAACTTTAATTTTTTATATCGATTTTATAATGATTTGATTGAAAGATTATTTTTAAGCCATAGAAATAATGACAAATCGGTAAAAATTTGAGCGTCACTTAGTATAATACGGACTACATTTAGCGTAATCTTAAACCATCAACAATGAACTTCAAATGTAGAGAAAAACTTTCAACTTTCTAGTTTCCACTGCTTCAGTCCTCAAGAGGGTCCCAAAATCAGAGTCTCGACAAAAAAAAACAAAAAAAAACAAAAAAAAAAAAACTTAATTAGTCATAGAGAATAGCTACAACAAAAGTTTATCTTTATCATATCATTACCAAAATCCAAATTGAAACTCAAACTTGTTGAAGTCCTTCATCCTAAAACGAAAGGAACAGTCTAACAATCAAAAACATCACGAAAGAAAAATGGAGTTCACCTCAAGTTTGGGCGCAGCAAATAACCACATCAAAATTTGCCCATTTTTTCCTTTTCTTTGGCAGCTCATCTTTTCTTTTTTCTATGATGTTCATTCTGTTTTCTTATTTTAAATTTCTCCATTGTTCCTTTTCATATTCGGAAGGTATTAACATTAATTCTCTTAATTTCGTAGTCATCCTTTTTGCTTTTAGTTTTTAAAATTTTAATTTTTCTTCGCATTTTTACTTTAATTTTGATTTGTTACTAGTTTATACCGTAAGTTACACGGACTGACATATCGTTCTTATTTAAATATAGGATAATAATATTTTGTTATTGTTAAATTTCAAGTGGCACACAGTGATGAAATAAATAAAAATAAAAAAAATTAATGAACATTTATATTTTATTATTATGGAGTGTTTTTTTCAAAACAATATTTTTAGTTCGATAGATAAATTCTCTTTCCTTATTCCACATAAATACTTTGAGACAATACGTGGATTTCACCCTAAAAAGTACAATAAAGATGTCACGGTTGGGATGGTATTTCGGGGGACGAAAGTGCGATCGTTAATAATTGATAAGGGAAAATTCTAGTGGGGAGTTGGGGGGTGTTTTATACGTATGAAGGCTGTAAGTTTTTTATCTACGTTAGTGAAATTTAGAATAAACCAACAATGGTCGGTAAATTTAGGTAATTATCTTACACAATAAATTTAGATAATTATCAGCATGCAAGTTACTGATCACTTATATTTAAAGTTGTGTTTTCATTGAATTATGGTGTAAATTATAATAGATGATCATCGTGAATGTATCTTGACCAAAATAAGACAAGAAATGAATAATTGTTAAAAATTAAATTCTCAATCATTATTTCTTTAACAGTTGTGGATACTCTAAAGCGACAGATTAAAAAAAAAAAAAAAAGAGGTAGTACTTCGTTAATAAAGTGTTATGATTCCTGTTTAAAAAAATCTCACTTAATTTCCTAAACCAAGACAAACCTTTTATTACCTTAATTTAACTGATGCGATTTCAATCACTATGTGAAAATGTGAGTAACTTTACTTTTAGGATAGGTTCCCTTTTCAATGAAAATTTGGTTTGTGATATGCGGAAATTCTGAAATCGATGATTGTATGATATAATAATAATAGAAAATAAGAGAAAAAGATTCGAATATTTCCTCATGATGATTGTTTCCCCGATCAGAGCCATGTAATCAACAAAATAAAGAAAATATCTTTAAAGTTTTAAACCATCACTTATTACAAATTGTAATAAAGGAGGAAAAATATCCCGAGACAAATAAAGATTTCCTCAAAGCAAAGCTAAAAAAAAAAAGAAAGAAAAAGTAACTATTGCTAATTAACTTCAAAGATTACCAAAATTTGATCATCAAAAAGGCATTATTTATAGGACGTTGCAAAATAGACACATACATTGAACGATTTTGTCCCAAAAACACATATCGCAAAGATGAGCATGCCGTCGAAAACTCTTTTTTGGTTGTTGTTCATGATTAGCTTTGTATCTTTGTTGTCTGAGCCGTGTTGTTATGCTGCTTCAGACAAAGATATGATTATTGAAGTGTGCAAGAACACGACTTATCCAGATTTCTGCATTGGAACCCTCAGATCAGATCCTCGGAGTGTAGGAGCTGACAAAAAAGGTCTCGTTCAAATCATTACTGATAAAGCATTGACAAAAGGGAAAGAGAATTTCGCGCTGGTTAAGAAACTGCTTGGCCGTGCCACCGATCAAAAGGACAAAGGGCCCCTCACAATTTGCTTCCAAAGGTATGATTTGGTCGTCAATAGGAATGTTATTGACGTCATAAATGAATTGAACAAGAATAATTTTTTTAGTGCTTCAATCATGAGCTCTGCTAGCGTTGATGATATTCAAGATTGCGTAGATGCATTGGCTGGGGCAGGATTGAAATCACCCTTGACAAGCCAAAACAAATACGTGCAAGATTTGTGTAACTTATCAGTCGATATTTTGTTTACATTAATTCCAAAGTAATTTAACCTTTGGAAATTTATTCATATGTTACTTGAATTTTTATAACCGGTTTTTACCGGTTTTAAAAACCGATTTAAATCGGTTGAACCGATAAACCAGTGAATCATTTAAGTTGTTAGTTCACCTTCTGATTCGGTTTTCAAAACATAGATTTTTACTGACATAGAAATCATGCAAACTAGTAGCAATCCATTTTTTATATGAGGTTATTTAGTCTTTAGGAATTTTTTTCTTTATTATTATGATTTTCTTCTTCTTCTTCTTCTTTTTTTTTCGGTTGTAGGCTCTTCTCAAGGATATTAAGTTTGTTTTGAGGTGAGAAACCCACATTCTGATAATTATAATGAAAAGAAATGCAAGTAATTTCGTACTCCTTTATTTGTTTGCTTAAACATGCTTTTGACTCAAGAGAGTTTCGCACTCGTGTAGTCTTAATTTCTATTTGTTTTTTTTTTTTTTGGGTTTACATGTATTCTGAATTTCATATATTCAGACTATTGCATCTCTCTTTAAAGAAGATTTTTCTTACTTTTTTTAAAATCTTCGTTTGTGGCGTTACTTCATAATCTTCTTGAATCTGTCTTTTCCTCTTCTCTTGAGAGAAAGGGTCAAAACTTGCAAAAGAAGAATTTAATTGCTCTACTTGTCCTTGTAATTTAATGCCAAACACTGGCTTAGTCTCTACTATTCAAAACGGATTAGTTTGCCGAAGTTTGACATGGTTCCAGTTTCCCTCAAGCTTGGGCCAAGACAGTTACCACAACCCAGAGGCAGAGGCACAATCACTTTCCACACTGACATTCATGTTGGGCTTCATTTTAATAGTTTGCGGTTGTTGCCGATTTGGTTTGACGGAAAATTGGGATTGAATTGCCGGGATTGTCGTCGATGGTAATCTAAACAGCCATTCTTATGGTAATCTTGGGTCTTCAAACCATTGTAGAAATCCAGCTACAAAATATATGTCGACATATAAAGACACAATTCCAATCTGAATAAAAATGAGGTATTCGTCCATTACCACTTTGACATTTCAATTTTGATCGTTCTCCCTCAGTAACGATTCAATCCAACCATAGATTCAACACTTACATATCACTTTAGTTTTTTCGGTTTGTGTTTAGAAAAATATATGAGGACAATTGGAGCACTTAAATTCCAATTATAGTAAATGCTTACACAAAATGACCACAAAAAACTACTCATTCATGGTAACATCTCATTTGGAACCCACCGCATAAAGCCTGCATCGTAATCAAGCGTCATTGGCGCCCAAGATGCATGGAAGAAGCTAGTGTAGTACACCCTAACCACCATGGCTTATTCTTTTTTGTTTCCCCTTCATTTTTGGAGAATCTGGAAAAAATAATGCAGACAAATATAGTAATAGCAGACTATTTTTGGAGTTTTGTGTATTTACACAAGGCATTGAATTCTTGAAAGGCTACTAAAATTGCTCAAGTTATCTTCAATAATTCACTACATTCCTTTTTCTTTTTTTTGCCATATGCAAAATTCCTTTGAATTTGGTTTCTCCTACCATTACTGGAAGTAACAAGATGTGAACCTAAAACAGACTGCAGGGACCAGCCTGAACCACTTCTGAACTTCTTCCTAATAACCTGAATCAAAGGAAAGAACCTTTACTGATGCAAAACAATTATCAAGAAAAAGGAACTGCAGTAGTATGTGAAGAACTAGGATTTGCCATCTTTGGTTATATGATATATTTGTATTTCCACCAACATAAAAAGAAAAATCAAAATCTGAACAGACATCAGTTCAAGAACCACCCCAGAGAAACAATTACACTACACATCTCTTCAACATTTTTCCTCAACAATTCAAGATTTCAGGCTTGCTGTGTACCTACAGAAAGCAGCATTCAGGTAAGCTACCATTCAATCCTCAGTTTAAAGTCTCTTAGCTATGTGCTCTTTAATTACTTCAAGTGTTTAACCTTTTGTTTACAGTGAAGAATGTTTGAATTGATCTTATTAAAATAGGAAAGTTGTATTCTAGAAAGAATCGATAATCCCTGATTCAGTTACATTCTAGAGTATCAACTCACTCTTAATGTGAGGAGTTGATCTCTACAATCTCCTGATGTACCCTTTCTAAAGATAGATCTGAATTCCAAGTTTTCTTCTTTTCATTTTCTCTACATGGTATCTATAGCTTTAGGGTTCGGCCATGAACATTAAGGTTCCCCTGGTTGGCTCTAATCAAGCATCTTCGAATGCTAAAAGCAGCAAACATCTTCTGTGGAAAGTATTCAGCCCACAACTATTTTCCTTTATGAAATTCTCTTCAAAAACCTTCAAATTACCAATCACAGTTTAAATGGCAAAAACTACCTTAAGCGGTCTCAGTCCTAAGACTTGTAGTCCATGCAACCTCCAGCCACTAATGATCCAAATACCACATTAAGGCTGCCATGTTTGGCTCTAATCAAGCATCTTCGAATGCTAAAAGCAGCATAACATCTTCCAAGGGAAGTATTCAGCCCACAACTATATTTCCTTATGAAAGCTCTCTTCAAAAATCTTCAAATCACCAATCACAGTTTAAACGGCAAAAACTACCTTAAGCGGTCTCAGTCCTAAGACTTGTAGTGCATGCAACCTCCGGCCACTAATGATCCAAATACCCATAGCGCCGGTCTGAAAACCCAATGGTCACTTCTTGGTTAATCATATGGATCCATGGTTGGAAAACCCTTAATGTTTTTGCCCACAGCTCGGTGGCAATATAGTAACTAGAAGGAGGAAGAAACAAAGCATAGTTGCTAGGGGTAGTGCTCCGAGGCAGAATTTAGATCAGTGGCTCAAGGGGTGTGTGAAGTTCTATGGTGGAAAAGGGTTCTCAGAGATTTTAAGAAACCATTTATCTTTTCTATGAAGCTGTATTGTGATAATAAGGCAGCTGTATTGTGATAACTACAGTCAACTTCTATAGAACTCTGCACTTATCCTGCACGGCAACCACAAATGCATACAAGCCTAGACACAGTGACCAGTGACAACTTTCTAGAACACATAATATTCAGTAATTCATTCATTGGTTAATATTTATTCGATCTTTCAAGAACTCTATGAAAAACGCCATACAAAAACTTAAGCAGGACACAAGAGATTGATACAGTGGACATCATATTATGTCGTAAGTATGATTTCATAACAGCATGCATTTTTCCAAGCTTTCAACCTGATACAGATGAAAACCCGAAGACATATTTTTTAGAGTCAAACATAGCTGTACAGAAGGGAAATAATTTCCATTTCTAGGCATGCATATTTCTTCCTTCTGAACATTAGAAAATCACTTCAACTGGTTTCTCCTAGTTTTCCTTCATATCTTTTGAAGTACCAAGGGACCCTACTACGCGAACTTGTAACTAATGTTTTATTCAACTAAAGTACCAACGGACCCTACGGTGCGAACTTGTAACTAATGTTTATATTCAAATCTCAATGAACAGGTTTTAAGTCCCAAATGGAGGCCATGATGGCTCTTGCAATCTTACTCTTTGTGAGCTTTGGAATTTGTCAAGCAGTGGCTACTCCATCTGTTGTTGTACAAGATGGCTCAGGATCATTCCGAACAATAAATGACGCTTTAAGAGCTGCACCAAGTTACAGCAGAGAAAAGGTTATAATAGTTATAAAGAAGGGTATCTACTACGAGCAAGTGACTGTTGGACAAGAGAAGACAAATATAGTGCTAATTGGTGAAGGTGTGGAGAATACAGTCATATCGGGGAGCAAAAGTGTTGCTACTGGCTTTGGTTTGCAGGAAACTGCAACCGTCGGTAAGAATCTAGTGCAATTTTATGAACTCTCCAATTAATATATGCAACTGATCTCTATTTCCTCTATTTGCAGGGATTCTAGGCAATGGCTTCATGGCCCAGGGAATCACTTTCAAAAACACAGCTGGACTCAATGGCCGACAAGCTGTAGCACTTCTTACTAGTGCTAATTACGTAACATTTTACCAATGCAGGTTTATGGGCTACCAGGATACCCTCTATGCAAAATATGGGATAGCTTTTTTTAGGGACTGTGAGATAATTGGGACAGTGGATTTCATCTTTGGAGATGCTGCTTCTATATTCCAAAACTGCATCATTCGTGCCCGACAACCCCTTCCAGAGCAGTATATCACTATAACGGCGCAAGGAAGGACAACCACTAGTAGAGGGACAGGATTTATCTTCCAAAACTGCTCAGTCTACACTGAGGAATTACATCAAGCTAAAACTAAGGTCCAATGTTACTTGGGAAGACCCTGGAAGGACTTCTCTAGAACCGTCTTCATGCAGAGTTTTATGGATGCTGGAGTTAATCCAGCAGGTTGGATTCAATGGGAAATGCAAGCCCGGGTTCATCCCTACTTTGCCGAATACGCAAATAGGGGACCGGGGGCTGGGACAACAAGGGTTCAATGGTCAATCATTATAAAAAGCCCTACAGAAGCATCTCAATTCACCCTCAGAAATTTCCTACAGGGGGGAACTTGGATTCCCCCGGCAGTGCCACGATATTTAGACCTCTAGAGAGTATTATATAAAATGTAATAATAGAAGTACTGCTACAAAGGCAAAAGTATCAGGTTCAATTATGCTCTGTGAGTTCTGTTTTCCTAATGTTTTATGTAATGCTTGATATGATGTCAGATGCTATGATGACTTACCAATAAACAGGTGCTTTGAACCTTATGCTCAATCTATTATGTGGAATTTGAAACCTAACATGCTACTTGGTTTTCTCTCTTCCTCCAATCATTCTTCTTGATCAGCCACATTTTTCTGCAGCAAAGTTTCTTCTATGTAGCCTAATGATCCTTAAAATGTACACCCAGGGCATCAATCAAGATTCTTATGGCCTTTATCAACCATTATTTATCACTGTAAATTTTTTTCCATTGTAGCCTAATGTTACTTAAAACTAATACCTACATCATCACAGTCATACAAAGCAAATTTTAGGCCTTCAAGCACCATATCCTATTCTTCCAAGTACATTTTTTTTGGATGAATATTGATTCTTCCATTCCATGTGAGAAATTATAAACCATCTCTCAATCGCAAGTTTCGACAAATTTACAAAAGATTCTACAGATGCTATTAGCTACAGAAAAACAGAATACAAAAGCAAGTTGAATCTTCCAAGTACATAATGCTTCAGCAATTCTCATCTCATAGTTCAAACATACAAAAAACATATAAGAGAAAATCAAGCAGTACTCTAACAAATGTAGAACTTTAAAAATGCAATAAGAGCAATTCATGCTACCCCAAGAAATTCAGTAATAGATAGACAAATGGGATTCACTGAGAGTACAACAATGACAACATCAACAACAACAAACCTTTATACCACTGTGGGTTTGGCTATGTGGATTATATATACAGATTTATCGTTTCAATCGTAATACATCACTGCCTTAAAATACGCATATAATCAGAATCTGGAAGGACATAAATGTAATCAGAAAACAATTGTATGAATCAACTTTCAAAGATTCGCATCTTCTTCTGCAGTGGTAGAGGTGCAAAACTCCATGCAGAACCTACTGAGAGGAGATTTTCAGCAACTAGGTATTTCATATGAGTTCGGTTCACTCTGCCTCAAATGAATAAACCACACATGGTTTATTCAAAATGAATGTATCTTTTTGGCACAGCTGAAACTAAAGCTCAGTCACAGCCATAGTTATAAATTATCACCTGACAAGAACTTTTTTTTTTCCCCTGGAAGCTAGTAGGAGAATAAACGAAAGAGCTCCAAGTTTTTCATCAGTTTACGAGCACTGCATTTAATTCAGCTTCAGAAGAATGTTAAAAATGGATTATAAATCCACCAAATAGTCATCAAAAGCGGCCAAATTTCACCAAAAATCACATCCAAAAATGAAGGTAAGTAATCAAATAGGGAACTTATATATCAATCGTCGATTAACCAACATTGGTAAAGTGACCACGAAGTCATTCAACAAATCATCCCAAATATAATCACTCATTTCTTCAAATGGGTATATAACAGAAAACGGTAAAAACCCAAATCTGTGGGGGAGATGCAAGCAGAAAATCAAAGAGCAAAAGCAGAAACTTTGAGAATTTCTGACCAAATGAATCAAAAAAAAAAAAAAACTATTCCACACATACAAAAAGACATAAACGAACGCAAATTACATACCTGGACATGCAAGGAAGAAGCTAGCAACGAAAGAAAGTTAGCCGATTCCGAAAACTGCAGGATGAAATTGGCTGTAAGTTCGATTTGAGGGGACCAATTTTGACAACCAAAATGGTAAGTGGTGTTTGGTGGTGTATTACCCATCCAAAAAAAGAGGAGCTCCAATAGTATGTGGTTCCGGGCACAAATGGCATGTTCCATATTGACTGTTATTCATTTACATTGTAATTGTTGGATTCGGTTTATAGAATAGACTAGTGATGTCTGCGCGACCCTGGTCCAATATATATGTATATCTTAAAAATATTTGTATTTAGAAAAAAAATATTTTGTATTTGGCCCGATATATTTTAGAAATGTTTGAAAAATTTAGAAATATTTTATAAGTGTGATCATAAAAAAGTTTATATTTGGCATAAAAAGAAATTGTATTTGACCCGGTACGTTTTAGAAATGTTTGAAGATTTTAGAAATGATTTATAAGTGTTACTTCCTAAATATAAATAAATTTGATCAAATATATGTCTTGAATTAAATGCTAGACAAAATATAAAAGCATCCTAATAAGTTTAAATATTAGTAAGATAATTTATTAATATTCTCCAGTTGTGCCAATTCAATACTTAGTTTTGGAGATTTATAATAGCTTTGTAGTAAGCTTCCTCCCAAGAGTATACGCTTAATTGTTGAAACTATTTCTTCCAAAAGTTTATAAGTAGTAAAATATCAAAAATATAATTTTGAAACTGGTTAATTGATGAAATTGGTTGATCACAAATATGAGAATGAAAATAATGTAAATTTGCATAGGTTTCAAGTAATACCAAAAAAGAACTCACCTCACCATGGCAAATAAAAAAAAAAAAGAAAGTAAAAGGTAGCCAATTTAAAATTGAGAATTTTTTTTTTTCTGTAGGTAAACATGTTGTATAAAATACAAATAAACGTAGAAACATCATTCTTTCCCTCTCCGCTTCAAATTCATAAAAGGCTTCCCCAGAAATTAGTTAGAAGAAGCGACCTGAACTATTTAGATGATGAGAAACTAAAAAAAGTCCAAAAACCAAAATTCAAAAAGTATATTCTTGAAAGTCCGAACACAAAAAAAAACGCGCTTTATTTGCAAATAAAATAAAATAATAATAATAATAATTGGTCAACTGGGAGTATGAAACAAAATAAAAAATAATTAAACAAAGAAAAAACACTTTTCGAAACTGACCATATACGAAAAAAAAAAATTGAGACTCCATAATTAAAAAAAGAAAACTACTCTAATTGAATGAAACATTAAAAAGAAATTTAAAAAACCATACTTTGTAACAAAAACTCAATTAATCAATTCAATCCAAACAGAACTAAAATCATACAAAACTTATAGGCTAACTAACTATATAAGAAATCACATCATATTACCTGACAACGGCTATGGTAGCTGTAACGGATGGCCGCATAAAAATAATAGTAATAACATTATTCTTGAACGGGAAAAACAAAAAATAATAAAAGCCAAACAAATGATCTGTGGAAATAAAATTATTTAAATTTTAATACCTGTAATTGCACCACCACAACGGCCGAAGCAAGATCAATGAGAATTTTTTTTTTCCTTTGTGTTTATATAGAAACGTAAAGAGAATATTTTTGAAATGGAAATTTTATCTGATCAGGATGTAGTTGATCATCACTAATGAAAAGATTGAACATGCTAATAGGAAATGAGTATATTTCACCACATATTCTCAATTGATGATTGATGAGAAATTTTATTTTTTATTTTTATTGTGGAGAAGGGATTGATTAGGGAGTCGATTATCGTGGAGATGGGGATGAGGATTTGGGTTTTTTATGAACCCGTCTTTTTTTTTTTGTTTTGGCAAAAATAGGAGGTGGAGGTGAATTTGGACTGCATTTACCTTTTAAATCTAGGAGATGTGAAAATAAAGATTTATTTTAAAAGTATGATATGGAAATGCCACATGGCAAATGGTGGTGCTTTTTTTTAAGTGTGGTTTTTGTTTCTAATATAGTAAGATATTGGTTACTAAAAAATGAAAATGAGGGTGACTCTACTTCTCAGCTAGAGTTGGGAGGCGAAAACCGAAAAGAGTAAAAGGGTTTTATCTGTCCCTTACATAAGTAAAAGAAGAATAATCTCTTATAAATTACCCCATTTCCATTGTAAATTTGATCATCACTAGTGTTTATCCTTGCTTTGCACAAAATATATGCAACGACATAAAATATGTTTAGTAATGAAATGAAACGTTTCTGCTTCTTAGATTTTTTTTATTAAATTATGGAATAATAAGTATAATTAAAATATTAAAAAGATTAAAAATAAAAAAATAATCACATTATTTTTTTGTCTTTGGCCCTGGTAAATTTTATAAGTTATTTCTACATGACATAGTAAAATTTTAGAATTAAAATAATTTGAATAAAAGTTGTGATTCACTTTTACTCTTAGACCAATTAACTATACCTTTATTAACTTCTCAAATTTAATTAATCCACAATAAATTATCACAAACTACCAATACTAATTGATTATTCAAATTCATATTATGATTATGTTATGGAACTGATTTTATCTGGATTGTCATATATGATTAATTAATACAAACGTAACAAAATCAATAATTATTTTTTTACTAAATATTTTGACTGAATTTCTAATTGTGCATCACATACACAAAAATCATTCTGTATTAACATAATATACGTGTGTGTGTGTGTGTATATATATATATAATATAGATTCTATTTATTAAAAATTGAGATTTACTGTTAAGTGTTGCGGCCTACTATAAAAAGTATTGGGCAAGATTTAGTATTAGGGTATTTGGATTTTGAATAGTTGTAATTACTTGCCATTATTGTTTTTATTAGGCAGCATTTTGTCATGAGGTAAATAACTACTACTTTCTAATAATTTTATTATTTACTAGTATCACAGTAAAGGCTAGTGTTCTTTAAGTGAGAAATTGGATAAGTGATTGGGGTGAGATGGTTAGGGAAGTACAGTGAAAGTTTCTTTTAACTACGAGACGGAGGGTTTGTAATTCAATGTCTTCAAATAAGAGAAGTGGGGTTGTTTTGCTCGGAAATAAGCATATTATGTTGTTTTACTTTGTAATAAGCAAATTATGTTTGCGTGACACATTATCATGTTTGAAATTCTACCTATATCTTTTACAAATTGTCACTGTTATATCTAATTCCTCGTCATATTTATTTAATTAGTAATTGTAATTCAAATGCTTTCTACAGTCCAAATTCGGAACTTGTGCTGTGCCTTAGCAAGATATCCAGCAAAATTGTTCAATCAAAATGTGAATCCAAAGAGAAAACACGTGCCAGTTGGCGAGCAAGAAGATGGATACCATTGTGCAAATATTTCATATTCTACCCTAAGAATTTTTATTCTAAATATTTCTAAAATTGAAACAAATGAAAGAATGAATTTGAAAAGTAATTAGCAGCAGTGGACAGCAGATGCTTTTTATTCTTCATAATCACACCATACAAATTATTACTATGTAAAAAAACTAGGCTAAGATTCTGAGTCAAAACTTTTATTCGCCTGATTAGTCCCGAGTCTTGACTCTTTTTCCAGCACAAAGTGTTGATCATGTCTATCCAGCAGTAGTAGCACTCCGAGTTAGAGAATATGTATATGCATCTGACTTCACTGCCTCCCTTATGCATCCTATAATGTAATTTACTACCCCAATAATACCCATCTCATCTACAATTCTACACAGGGAACTGAAAAAGAAAAAAGAACACTGCTTCGGCTAATTACCAAAAACCTAGGGTGTCTACTGACAATGTACGAAAATAGCTCTTCTGTACTCGTGTCATAAGTGTTTGATGTTGTTAGCTTGGAGTAATTATGAAGAGTCTGGCGAGCCATAACCATAAGGGTTCTTGCTAGCCCAATTCCACTGATCTCGGCACATCTCGTCAATTCCGTACTTTGCCCTGCAAAATTCCATTAATTTGATTGAGCCTTCATCCAAGGTCTAAGGAAACTCCTAATACAGGTAAGAAATCATTGAAATATAGCTTAAAACTTACTTCCAGTTCAATTCGCGTTCTGCTTTTGCTGTTGATGCATAAACAACCTCTGCATCTCCAGGTCGGCGACCAGCAATGACCAATGGAATTTTCTGAACAAAAGATTAACAAAAATTCAGCAGAGAAGTTTTTTATTTTGACTCAGAAAACATAACAGCTATGTGAGCTAAGTTCAATTCAGTTACAATGTCAGAAGATGCTGAATCGCATTATGCTTGTAAGGTACCTTCCCAGATGCCTTCTCAAATGCTGCTACCATTTCCAAGACAGATGTTCCTTTCCCAGTTCCCAAGTTATAAACTTCGCAGCCTGAAATAGTTGGAAGTGTGCAAGGATAAAAAAATCAGCATCAAGAGAAGTGTACAATGACATGATTCTCTACAAATTCCCTCCAAGGAAAAATCTCTCAGCCACCACCACTAATTCAACATCTTTCATAGCAAAAGCAAATAAACACAAAATTGGGGGATCCACCCCATTAAGATAAGAACTGGTGACCAATAAAGACATGATGAAAACAAACCTCAAGACAGCTAGAAGCGGAAAGCCAAAACAGTAAACATACCTATGGAGGGATCGGAGAGCTTGTTCACTGCAGCTATATGACCATCTGCTAAATCTTCAACATGGATGTAATCCCGTACCTGTAAAAATTAAAGCGGAGACAACTAAGTAATAAGCAAAACAAAAGTAGGTATACATACATTAATCCATCATGATGTCAAAGTACTATAGCGCAAACAATCATATGTCTTGAATCTTATCTTCAAACTAATAATTATGAATATTTTTCTCCAAGAATAGAGCGGATACATACCCCAGTGCCGTCCTTTGTTGAGTAATCATTTCCAAAAACTGTCAAAGCAGGTCGCCTACCAACAGCTACTTGCTGAACAAATGGCATTAAATTGTTTGGAATTCCTCGTGGATCCTCCCCAATATAACCACTAGGATGTGCACCAACAGGATTGAAGTAACGCAGCAATATGATCTTCCACCCAGAGTCTGAGCCATAGATATCACGGCATATTTCTTCAATAAAAAGCTGAAGCAGAAACTATATTCATTAGAAAGGAGGGATACAGATTTCCAAACAACAATAAGAAGAGAAACAATGGAAATCTCCTGCAGCCAAATGCACATTGTATGTGTTCCCTCACAAGATAGAAGAATAGGCATGATGTCGAGACAAAAAAGTACCTTGGTTCGTCCATAAGGATTCACAGCACACAGGGGAAATTCTTCAGTGCATGGGACCTCCTTTGGCCAACCATAAACAGTAGCTGACGATGAAAAGACCAGCTGAAATTTAATTTAAAAAGGATCAGCTACTTTAACAGAATCATCAGCCAGCAGCCAAATATACTATCTGGAAGATAACTAGCAACAAAATAAAACACTCAAAATTCAATTATAACAATGTAGATGCCAAGAGACAAAATATTTGCATTCACTTCATAAACCAGAAACCAGCAAATATGCGAAGAGTCCAGAAGAACACCTTTTTACATCCATGAGCAGCCATGACTTCTAAAAGGGTAATAGTGCCAATAAGATTGTTGTTATAATACAACAACGGCTTCTGCACACTTTCTCCCACTGCTTTCAGTCCAGCAAAATGGATAACTGCATCAAACCTGGTTTTAATGGCAAAAACGTTAAACTAACGCAATAAAAATTGAAAACCACCAACCAACTAAGCAAATTCCTAAAGTATCAACAGAACATATGAACACCTAGAAACTAATTAGAAAGTGACAGTCAGAGATGACATGCAAGCTTACTTTTCTGAAGCAAAAAGACTTTCAAGTGCAGGCTTATCACGAAGATCCATCTGCAGTTGGAACAAGAATACAGTAAATAAGAGAATCCTTCATGAGAATTCTCAAAGGAACAACAATCCAGATACAAAGGGACTCAAGAAAATTGGTGAATTTCTCATAATTACACCCAAAAACAATTAGAATTTCCAACAGAAAACAATTCATGAGCATATTACTTCGGAATTCAAAGTTAGCCCACCAGTTCTAATCACAAGTCCCCAAAGAACAAACAGCCAAATATACTCCCAAATGATAAAGAACTGCAGATTATCATGCGAGCCTAGTTTTCCCATCACTCAATTCCCGGAAACAAATGAAAATTCAATTCTAATACGACCAGTAATACATAAAAAATTCAGTCTTGAAAACCCAAAACTCCATAAAGTCCAAAACTTGACCTCCGATGGCACCATATTCACTCCAACCAATATACACACACATCAAAATGCCCAGAAACCTAAACACATGAATCGGATTAAAAAAGAAAAGGGAGAATTTGAAACGACCTTATGAAAGGAAAGATTGGAGCCTTTATCAGCAGCGAGTTCTTGAACCCTTTTGATGGCAACATCAGAGGAATTGTCCAAATTATCCACAACCACAGCCTTGTAGCCACCCAACAGCAATTGAAGAACGGTGTGGCTTCCTATATAACCCGCCCCACCAGTCACCAGAATGTTCATCTTTTCCGGCATCTCTACTCAAAGCCCAAAAAACACACAAATTGATAAGTCTAACAAACTCTATGTACGCTCTTTCTGTACAGGAAGGAGAAACAGAATGAACGAATGAATATATATAAGAAGGAATTTTACAATCCCAAAAAGGAATTTATCCCGGGAATCAAAATGGCCCAGTGTATATAAAGAGGTTTTGTTTGCACACGCAAGTATAATATAGGAAGTAGAAAGGGGGAAAAAGAGGTCAGGATTGGAAAAATGGCAACAGTATAATTATAGAATATATGAGCTGGAATTGATTTGTTGTTAAAAAAAAAAAAGGGGATTAATTTTGGAGGTTTTGGTAAGTCAGTATTGGAAGAATCCTATCAGGACTCACCTAGTGGAAACGCCTTATTTGTTGGGGTGGCAATATATCACAACAAATCCACCACAAATAAAGGGATTAAAAAAATAATAATAAAGGTAAAAGAGAGCGGTTTTGTAGTAGAAGAAGAAGGAGAAGGGAAGAAGAACGAGTAAGAGGGCCAAAATTAAGAAGCAGCTGACACGTGAAGAAAAGGTTAAAGGTAAAGTACACAAAAATTTAGTACTACAAGTAAGTAGGAGTATTTATTAATGAATGTATTTTTGGTGATAATTAAGGAAAGAGGAAATGGCGCGGGATTCACGTGCCACGTGGGGTGGTAGAGAAACGGGGAAAGAAGGAAACCGAAATTCATGATTGATTTGATGGGAAGAAATTGGAATTTGGCAAATCACGAAACTCTTGGAAATACAAGGTTTTTTCTTTTTTGACAATTGCAGCGGTGGCGGTGGTGGTGGTTGGGGGTGGTGGAATTGGGCGGTTGGTGATTTGCTACCACTGACGTTGACGTCTGATTTTGATTACGTTTGATTTGATGATTCATTCAACGGAAATTCTAGATTTTCTCGAACTGTCTTCAAATCTTAAACAAAAAGAAAAAAAGTGATTCGTTCATGATTCGTCCACACTCCACATATTAATACTAGAACTACTACTGTTTAACTTTATTTTAGTTTTGTTTTTCCGATGCGTTTTACTCTCTCTGTTCCAAAATTATTGTTTATTTTTAGATTTTATTTTTAGTATAATTTAAATTAAAATTGAAAACTCAAATTAGACAATAATTATGGAGCGGAAGTAGTAATATAATTTACTCATCTTTTCCTTTTCTCTTCTTTTTTTTTTTTGGAAGCAGACTTCAGATTAAAAAAGAGGAAATTGTTTTCATTTGACTTGAACACGGTTACCTGGGAAATGGTGACAACGTTTAACCTACTCATGGTAGGAAATATTATAATTCCTTAAAAGAAAATTTAAAAAATGATATATTTGGATAGTTTGCTTTGTTTGGTTTTTTTTAATGGTATTTTCAGAATAATTAAATATTAACTTTCCCATATCAACATACCTTTTTACATTTCTAATACAAAAAACAGCAAAAACACACACACTAAAAAACCAAACAAACAAAGTCTTAGTTTTAGTATGTATTCCCTGCTCAATGAGATATCATGGTGAATGTGTGACATGAAAATTGAATATTTTTCTAATTGAACTCCTGTGTAATGCGTTAAACCAAGATTTCTATGTATTCATGTGTATATCGTATTTCTATATCACTCGGAATGTTTGGTTTGTGCGTTATGGAATGAAATAATGAAATGATTTCAAATACTAACGTTTGAAAATGAGTGGGGAGTTTGGGTGGGGTGGTTAAAAAATTAAGATGAGAGATGGTTATTATCGGTAGATTAAGGGTTCGATTCTCACTCCAGCCATTTTAAAACAAAATTTAGAAAGAAAAAAAAAATCTAATGTTTGAAAATTTTGAGTTAAGTTTAAATTACAATTGTCATTAGATTTGAATATTAACTAGATTACTTATGATTCCTATTGAGCTTGAACTTTCTTAATTTCAGAAATCAACTTCATTATCATAAACGGTAAACGAAGAAGGAAAGAAAGAACTTTAGCAGAAAGATGAAATGAGAGAGAGAGTTTGTGTGAAACTTTTCTTTCTTCTCTATATTTCGGTGAGGAAGAATTAAAATTACAGCTAGTCTTCTCTTTATATACAAAGTAGAGTCGGTTAATCTAGGTTAAAGTCACCTATATATGTGTACTTCCTCCCTCTCATAATTATTGTCCAGTTTGAGTTTTCATTTTTAGTTCAAATTGTACTAAAAATGAAATCTTAAACTGAACAATAATTATGGGAGGGAGTATTATTTACATCACAGTTTATCTTCTAATACTATGTACAGTCATCATCGATCTTTGAGCTGTGATACTTCTGGCTGGATCAGCTTCTATACATGGGTGTGTATAATGTTGTGATGTGGCCTTTGCTGATGCAGCGTGATACTTCAACAAACTTCATACAGTATTTTGTTTCTTACTTTAAGTTCGAGCTTGAACTAACTGCTAAAACTCAACCACAGTGTGATATGATAGGAAAATACGTACACTGATACCAATCCCTTCAGGTAAGCACTCCAAATCCCATAGTAAACACATGACCAAACCGTTTCAAACCACAACTAAATCTTACAAATAGGAAAATACAGGACCAATTCATTCATGTAGCCTTGAAAAAGTGAAAAATATAACAAAAATAATCTCGAAGGCGCTTTGCCTTTTCTTCGGGGGAGGAGGGAGAGTGAAGGTAAACTAGGTACTCTTTCAATCCCAAAAATAAAAATGATTCATTTTGAGTTTTGACCCCCCAAACTCCAACCGAATTGGGAATATACTGGGTTGTTGTTATTGTATTGTGAGTTTTGAAATTTGCATATACTCCTTCCGTCCCATAATTATTGTTCACTTTGCCCAAAAAATTTTGTCCCAAAATTATTATCCAATTTGACTTTTTATGGATCAAGTTACACATTTGTCCTTTGTAAAAAACATTATCCATAAAATCTTAGTGGTTAAACAATTACTTATGTAGGGGTATATCCGGTTATTTAAGGTAAAATATAGTTAAGTTTGACCAAAAATAAAATCTTTCATTTTAGTAAAACTGGACAATAATTATGGGACGGAGGGAGTATCTTTTAATGTACAAATATCATAATTTTGATTGAATCATTTTTTTTGAAACAGATTGAATAGACTTAACACAACGCCACTTTTCTCTTAATTTGCCAGCAAACTGTGACAGTCTACTAACTCATTAACAAATTACCTAACATTACATGGCAATTCCCTCTTTCCAATTCCTTAAAAACACACATTTTACTAATAATTATTCCCATAATCATTTCTGGGTTTTTTTTTTCTTAAAAAAATAAATACTTTGGTTTCAGTGTACCAAACCCACCAACAGCTAGGTCTAGTTGTACCACCATGTTTTGCCTTTCAATTAATTAATTAATGTACTCCCTCCTGTCCTTATTATAAGGCATGACAAATCAAAATACCTTATATTAAGGACATGAGGAAATATTATACTAATAATCATAACTGCCAAGTGCCTTTTATTTATGTTATTTCCATTTCCAAAAGATTAGGGTCCAACCCAAAACATGAATCAATCATCAAACAAAGGGATTTTTCAAAGAATCAGGACCCACATTTTTCTTCATATTGGACTGAATGTGGGGGATGTTGGTCGGACAAAACTGACAACCAAAATCTCTCTGGTAAAATGAAAATGAAAATCAAAACAACAACAGAAGGCCCTGTCACTTCCAGAAGGGATATCCGAATTTAATAACGTGGCTACCGTCAAAAGATATCCCTAAAATATTCATGGAAGATTTTTTACTAAAAAGAAAAGGGTAGATTCTTCTCACTTTTGGAGAAAAAAAATTCTTTTGGGGGGAGTAATATCCACTATCCAGATTCTTGATGACAAACCATAAAGTTCATTTCTAGTCTACTCTAGCTGGAGCTGGGGAGCTGATCACATGAAGAAAGATCATCATCATCATCAATCTGGACAGAAACTCACCACCAATCCAAACGAAAAAAAAAAGAAAAAAAAGAAATCTAATCTTCAATGCCATTTTACAAACAGATTGCTGATGAATGCAGCCTATACGATCTGCACTAATTTTCCCTTTTGAGAGAATGTTGGTACCAATTAGTTTGCGGGCTTGACGAATCTATGATACGTTTACATGAGCCATTTTCGACGATTCCCTTGCCACATTTGTCACTATCAAAACAATCTGTTCCATTTCGATTTTTGTAACAATAAAGGGCGAATTAATAAAATCGGTACAACCCTTTTCATTTATAACCAATTTAGTTTTGAGTTTGATATTTGGTAATTTATCTATTGGATACTAAGCCGATTGTTTGATATGCAAAAAGAATGGACAAAATCCGCATAGAAGGTCCTTTGGAAAGTTAGATTTGGGTCAAGATAAACCATTTGATTATGCTCATCAAACTTTATACTATGTATTTTTGTAATACAACTTCAGTCAACAAAGTAAATTATTACGCAATTTTGTGCAATCCGATTTGTACCAATAAAAATGGATGTCATCTCAGTTCAACTACCCTAGTCAAATTTCTTTAAGCTTGTTGTACTCAGTAGAAGAAGAAGAGGATCCAAGAAGATGTGATTCTATTCAGTGTTTGAAGGGGATTAACTAGTTTTGTTGCTCGTCGTCGACAAGCATAACCGACTGCTTGATCAACTGTAGTTAAATTTTGAGTTAACTTGTTAAGCCATGAAATATTTTGAGTTAATCAAGTACTAATTGCGTAGCTCATATCATAATTAAGACTAATTTCACTCTGCTTCCATTAATGTTGATTGAATATTTGCAAAATCTATCGTGCTAATTGTAGTTTTGTTGTCCTTCTCTACATAAGTTGATCAGACAGTGTTGGGAGATTTTAATAAACTACACAATTGCGTGAAAACATATATCAAAATGTAGTATAGTGATTGAGGATGATTGTACTCGGACAAAGGATTCATATACATCGAACAATGGCGGTCTTGATTGTATACAAATGGAATCCTCGGTAAGTTTATGTGTTTCTATGTGATCATGAAGTCTAAATCCGTAAGATGGAGGATGACATGAGATCAAATTGATACCAATTTAACATCTCAATAGCTAAATCCAATTTTAGCATCATATATATATATGCACTCGAATAGGAAATTTCAATTTTTGCCACCACATCCCCAAATACCCAATTTAGGGTAATGATTTCTCTAGCCTAGAATTAGCAGTGACTGAGGATGCATCCTCGGCTGCAAGAGGAGAAAACTGAGAAGGTTCTAAAAGACTGAAAGAGAAGAGGGTAGTTGTAGCCTCTTGGCTTCTAGTTAAATAGTGTACTGCAGAAGAAGCAGAACTGTAGTTTGCACAGCTAATAGCTGGAAGTACACAGCAGTACTGCAAACAGTTTTGGGGTTCTTAACGATGTCTTATTTTTCTTTCCACAAAAACAACAAACAAAATTAGTTCCTATCAAAAGTGAGCAGATTCCAGCATCATAATTCAGAGAAATTCGACGATACAGAGAGGGAAATCTCATAGGAAATTTTTTTACTTCCCTTTGTGTTCTGTAGGTAAGAGGCTTGAAATACAATTGGAGACTTTGGTATTTTGGAGATGTAATTCACAAAAATACAAAAAATAAGAAAAGAAAAATAAGACTTTTAAACAAATTTGACAAGGATTTCAAATGCCCGGAAGACAACAAAAGCTGATTAAACACTTAAAAAGGATCCTTTACCACTAAATCATGGAGTTGTTAATTGATTACAAATCGAATCTTTCTGCTTCGATGAACATGAAGTTCATTCGTTTCGTCCCTGACTTGTAATAGGATTATGATTTATGCATTAACTTCAAATCCAACTCGGTTTCAACGTTCTATCTTTCTCCTATAAATATGATCACCACCATCCCAGCTTTCCAACATACGAAACATTCATCAATCAGAACCCTTTGTTTGTCTTTGTGCGTGCTTCTTAATTCGTTGCCGTTCAACAATGGCTACCAACATTCTTGCCAAAAACCAGTCTTCTGTAGGCTTGTTCTGCTTCATGGTTTTGCTTCTTCTCCAATCCCATGTGAGCAGTGCCCGGAAGTTGCTGCCTGATCCTCCTGTTACACACAATGCCTCCAAGCACAGTTGCAAGTTCGTCAAGGTTTTTCAGCTCGGCGACTCGCTCGCCGATACCGGAAATCTAGTTACCGAAAGCCCACGCGGCGGTGGGGCTTTGTTCAATCACTTTCCATACGGAATCACATTGGGAACATCCACCGGAAGATGTTCAAATGGTCTTCTCATGATCGACTATTTTGGTACGTTTAGTTTTTAATCTCAACTTTTATATGTTATTAGTAATGTTGGATTATAAGTACTACTTTGATATAAGAACACTTTATTAAACTGCAATTCCCCGTTCTGATTTCTTTTGTTTGGTAATATTGTAGCCTCAGAATTTGGTGTTCCATTCCTGAGTCCTTACGAAAGAGTAGAAGACGGTGCGAATTTTGATCGTGGAGTCAACTTTGCTGTCGCCGGCGCTACCGCACTGCCATTGGAGACCTTGAGAGCTAAGAATTTCCCCCTTGGCTACATTCCAACCGGTAGCTCGCTCGGCGTACAGTTGCAATGGCTGTCTTCTCACTTAAACTACACATGCCAAAGCAGAGGAGAAGAATGTCAGGAAGAATTGAAAAATTCTCTGTTTTTGGTTGGAGAGATCGGTGGCAACGATTACAATTATGGAATTGTTGGAAACAAATCCATGGCAGAGTTGTATGGTTTGATCCCAGAAGTGGTTCAAACTATTGTGGATGCTGTTAAGGTAAGATTTTCTTTTGCCTTTCCCTTAATTGTCAATTTACAGACTATATAGTATTGATTTGATCTTGTTTGTTGATGAGTTTTTGTCTCTCTGTCAACTATTTGTTTTTGCAGGCCGTGATTGGCTTAGGAGCAACTAGAGTTGTTGTTCCTGGAAATTTTCCCATTGGTTGTCTTCCTGTTTACCGGGACAATCCTATAGATGGTTCGGGAGGATACGATTCAAACCAGTGTTTGGCGGGACTAAACCGCCTAGCCATCGCTCACAACGAGGTTCTGAAAGAAGCCATTGAACAATTGAAGGAGGAATATCCCAACACTGCCATTGTCTATGCTGATTATTACAATGCCTTCTTGTCAGTCCTAACTAATGCCGAAAACCTTGGTTTTGCCGACAAGTTTTCGCCTTGTTGTGGAAAAGCAGAGGCACGCAATCCTTCGGCATTCTGTGGGGCGCCTGGAGTTACTTCTTCTTGCCCAAATCCAGACGATCATATCAGTTGGGATGGAGTTCACATGACTCAACAAGCATACAAGTTCATGGCCGACTATCTGATCACATCCATCTCTCCACAGTTAAACTGTAGTTAAGTTTGCTTTTGAAATTTAGGATTATTTATTTTTCCTTTGGAGTGGTCATGTTTTCGGGTGATCAATGATCAGAAATTCAGAGTTTAGTTTTCACTTCTATATATATAGACTAGTATTATGAACTTTAAAATTCTTTACTTGCATCCTATTCACAGTCCTTTTGATTTTTTGATTTTTTATTTTTAGAAAGTCCTTTTGCTATCTTTTAAGTCCGATTCCATTTGGTTTTATTGTCATTGTGGATTTCTTTGAGCTTGATTTTTACTGTTAACTTAGTTCGGCATACTGACCAAAGAAATACTTAAAAACAGTCCGCTCAACTTCAACTCAAGCACGTTGGTTCAGACTTTAATAGCTGGGGTAGGGTTCTGAAGAATTGCAGCTAGAAATCCTGACATTCCTTATATTGAAACTCAAATGAAATTCAAGTGTCTCTGTGGCTTGGCATTCAATTGTAACAGTTCACATATCCATCCTTCCCTATAGTATATCGTTAGAGTCCTTGCTGTCTCATAGAGCATGAACCTTAGTAAGAAGACATTTTTTTGCCATACCACTCAATACATTGAATTGATACATATTGTCTTCACCATCTATTGACATTTAAGAATGGACTAATTCTAAAAACGTTGACCAGTTTTGTATAAGTCTTCTAGAGCTGATGCATAAGATGCGATATAATACAAAGTGGCAGTTATACAATTGCCATCGGTAACATGCTAAAGAGTGTCATACCTGATCCTGAGACAATTGTTTGATATCCTGAAGAATTGGATACTTGGCGAAAATCAGCGAGCCAAGAATTGTCGAGCAATGAAAAGACAAGTGGATTATCCATCGACCTTTATCTGTCTGTAACCTGTTCTGTAGGTATTGGCTCAGTGCTAAGAAGTCTTTCAGCCTCATCATTTGCCTCGGCCTGGAGTCGCCATTTCTGCATAGTAGACTAAAAAGTTTAGATGCCTAAAATTTCAACTAATCTGAGGCTACAAGCAAAGCTTGCAGCCAAGTGGGTCAAATTTCTCCACTATAGCTGTATGCTTAACCATATGCAATTTCAACTCTGCTGGACGATTTCAAATTTCACTATAGCTCTATGCCAAAATTTCAGACTCTGCTGGACGATTTCCAGCAAATGTATGAAAGTGCTATTTTATTTCAAAAAGAAAATCATAAGCAATTTTCGTATTCACTTAAGTTCAGGTAAAAATCAAATAGGGATTGATCAGCGGGCGCCAGAAAAGAACTATAAGATAAGATGTCCACAGAAAACAAGTATAAATCAAGATGTCAGAAAGGACGTTTCATGGTGTTAAGAACATGCCTCTTCAAGATTTTCAATTTCCATAATTTGCTGTATCTGTCCAGCAATGTTTTCCTGCATCAAGAAAACTTTTCAAATAAGCAGGTGACAACCAAAAGGAACAGGCTTTAGTGTACTGTACTTTGGAAACTTAATGCAACAGTTGAAACTTGCATTTGATCAGGAAAACAGCGGAACATTTTCCAGTTTAACTATGCATACCACATTGGTTGCTGCTTCAGCAGCAAGAACATCAGAGTCCATCTCCACTTCAATCTCTATCATGGAAGATATCTGCAATTTTGCGTCAGCATTACTCAGTGACACTTAAAACTGATATGCAGATTGGTTTATATGAAAATTTCAGATGTCTGAAAGAGAAGATACTCTGGCATAGCTTTCAATCAACTCAATCCTTTTCTTAAGAGAAGTCTCCAAGCTATCTTGAACCCGTTTTACTCTGCTTCTGCGAGCTCTAAAGACACAGGAAAGGTATGTTGGTAGTGAGTAACAAAAACACAGTACTCTTTGCTGCTGCAGCACAAGTAGCCTTTATTTCAGAAATATTTACCGGTAAGATGGTTCTCCGACTGCAAGAATTTTTTTCTCTAATTGACACAAGCGAGCCAACATCCAAACCTACAAAACAATAAACCAGCCAAGCAAGAACCATTGAGCATTTTAGAGGCAATCTTATTTTTGAAAAGCAAGAAACAAACAGTTGCTCTCTAGTAGAAAGGCTAAATATCCCGCAGGAGCGCTTGCCACATGTGAGCTAATCTGGTTGAAGCATCAATTGGTCAAAATCAATGAAACTGGTGTTTCTCCTATGAAACTATTGAGAATAATAAGGCTGGTTTGCACATTGCTACTAATCCAGTTTTTCAAGAGAGAGTTAGACACATTGAGATATTTCATGCTGTTCAAAGTGAAACACAGCTAAAAATTTTCACTATTATTATTCAAATGATCAATTGGCTTATGTACTTTACAAAGTCCTTGCGTGGCCCCAGAGGTGAGAATATTTGTCACAAGCTGCGCACATTTGGTACATATATTTCAACCTGGGAGCGGAGGGGGGTTATTTTACGACAGTGCCGCATAACTCGTCAGTTTCCCAACTGCTACATTACAGAAGAATCAAACGGCTAATACTGTTGGATGGATCTTTCTGTTTCTCTACAGCAGCATGCTATCGTATGAGTTTCATGAAAGGCTCAGACATCAGTGATTGGGATCAGCAAAGTAATAAGCATAAATCAGGTCTCCTTTATGCAAAAAATGCATCAAGAAACAAGTTAATGGACATAGCCATAATTGACATCTCATAGATACGTACTCAGATGAGTGAAAATCTAGTCTTTTTACAGAAGTTACCTCATTTTCAGAAGCTTTCTGTAACTCCTTGATTCGTGATTGGAGAACATCATACTGAGATAGAAGTTGCTGCCTGATAGCGAGTGTGTCAACTAGTTTTTGAGGAAGCTGGAAAAACAACATAATAAAACATAAATGAGAAACAGATCATAAATCAAATTTGTATGCTATATCATAATATACACTTTAATTACATCTAAAACAAAATAATAGAAAAATCGGTTGGCTGATGAAAAGACACCCACAATGCCATTGTATACTCGCATCTTGGTCCAGAGATGATCCAGAGATGAACCCGAAATAAAATGCTCAATCATATTTCAATCTCACCATAAGAAATGCCCATGCATGATTACAAGTCCCAAAACGGATATACAATCACATACATACTTGCCTTCCCTAGTTGTGGGTAAACCAGATTGCTAAATGTGGCTCCAACAACAAATGAGGATACTCCAGCAGCTAAAATTAATTTAGGGAGGCTGGGATCTATAATTCCAGTAGCAGCATCTCCAGAGGCAAGCATCACAAGAAGAGGAAAGAGAACAGAAGGATTTGTCAAGGATGTGCCATTTTCTTTTACAGGGGCCCTTAACAATGCTGATTCCCGGCCATCTGAATGATTTGTGAGGCACATTGGTTCTCCAGGAAAGAAGTTGGGGAGTTTTGAACTTAACCGAAACGGACCAACCTCTCTGTAAACTGTTTCTGGAGCAGCGAGGGCAATGGTAACCCTCTCTCCTTCTTGGGCGGGGAGATCAACTGTTTCAGTAGCAAACTTGTGAGTCCTTGCCAGACCAGAAGGTGTCTCAACCTGAAAAGAAAACCGTAGAGCATTCGTCTTAGGAGGTCTGCTGATATCCAAGAGTACAAATTAGTTGAAGATTTTCTCTTTTATTAAAATAGGCTTCCAACTAGAGGATCTTCAATTGATATTATACTAAAACTTATCGAGTAAGTTACCACAATGGAGTGAACAGCAGCTGGAATGTTTAGCTTCACAATTTGCAAAATACTTAGCCCCCTCTTCCATGCTGGGACATCCATGCTGCGTTCGGTAGTAGGAGATCCTTAGAAGAATTAAATATCCCAAGATTAACATCAAACACAAAAGCTGAACAGTGAAGCAAACGAGTTGGAAAGGGAGTTCACTTTAACATTAACCCCAACATGATCATTCTAACGTCCAAACTGATTTATTTGTACTCAAGAGTCCCTTTTAGCTGATATTTAGCACTATAAAATTACATGTAACACATAAGGGATGGCTCAACATATAATAATACTACTAATAATAGCAATAATAATAAGAACAGCAAAGCCAACCTGATTTCTTCAGACTCTATACTTGAAATGGTCCCAGAAACAAGCTCATACTGATAGCGACACTTCGAACAGGAGACAATCTGGAGAGTAGACAGATAGGTATTGTCAAAGGCATGCAAATTCTGTAATACCATTACGTGAAATACTCTCTCTGTCATCTCATATTTTATATTACAGCCCTTCAATATGTTAACAAAGTCAGAAATGGCATCTGACTTGATGAGAGCACCTGAAATTGAGATCCCTTATTGTTGCTATAAAGAGACTTCAGATAGGATAAAAAGGCCAACAGCAACACCTACCATTGGACATGTTTCCTTTCTGTAACACACATTTGAAGTCATCTCCCAATTTTTAAAGTTATCTATATAACCTCTCTAACAGTATCAATACCTTAAGTTATACCTGCCTAAAACACAAACAGAAAAAAGAAACTAGATGCAAAAAGACATAGTGGAGGTTGGCTTTTACCATAATTACTTAGTGTCCCACAAAATATAGAACTGCTCAAATAAATGTAACAAATGGATCACACAAGTCATCATGCCTACCTGAACACCATGTTGTGGTTGAGCTACAGCAACAGCGATCATACAACTAGGACACTTGATAACCTTGCCAAAAGGGACCTACATTAAAATTGATAAAATAAGCATTATAATACAGAGCTTGACTGCTTATTCCACCCGATAACTGCGGCATGAATCAAATTCATAATCACCCAGAAGCAACAAATTGGGAGATTGCAAAAAGTATTGAAAGTCGTGAGACCAATACCTCTTCGCTTGGAGATACTCCCACCCGGCAAATACTGGATATTATTCGCAGGGCATCTGAAACTCTCAACAAGGATGCGAGACCTTGAATAAGTAAGTTATATGTATCCACATCTGGTCTAGACCACTTCCATCTCTGAACCTGATTATCATATTCACCTACCTCTGCAGGTTAAAACAAAGTGACAGTGAGATATAACCAAAACATAAGCTAAGAACAGAGAGAAAACAATGGGTTTCAACCAAAGATCAAATGTATTGAGGCGTGGAATATGTGCTCTCCAGATATGTAACCCTTAACGTTTTTCATTTTCAATATAAATGTGCTTCACTAAGTACAACGGCATTTGTTGTCTCTTCAAAGACATTCTCAAAATGCAACCCAATAAGCCAATTCATTGACATGATGATTACTTCAGCTACAAGTTTAATCACAAGTATACAGACACACGCACCTGAATCGAAGGCAGACGAGCGCATGGCTCCAAAGACGGAGAGAGCCAAGTCAGCATTACCACGACCAATGGCGGCAGATAGGATCAAGCAACAATCAGAAGGACCCACAAAGCCACTAATCCTGTTAGTTCTGTTTGCAATTATATCAAGCACTTGATCGGCATCTTTAGCAGCCGAAACTGCACTGAGAAGCTCCTCGTCCAATAACTCGGAGACCACCTTCTCCTTGGTCGGCGAGTCATTGGATGATGACGATGATGATGATGCTTTTAAGGTGAACAAGTCAGCTGTTCTAGAAGAGCTGTAGTGGTGTTGGTGATGGAAGAAAATGCAAAAAAGAGTGGCAGAAGGGAAAGGAAATTTATGGGAAGAAGGTGAAAAGGAACAATATAATGGGAGAGGGAAACGGTGGGAGCACAGCAGATTGAGGGACATAACTTCAAACAGAGCTTTTCTTTTTTGGCCCTTTTTCCGTTTTTGGAAGGTGCTTTATGGCGGGGTTCTAAAATGGCGTTCGGCGCTTCATCTCCATGTTCCAGTGTGTGTGTGTGTGTGGGTGGGGAGTGTTGAAGAATGAAGATGAGGAACGAGCGGTTGTCAGTATAGAATAGATTAGATTCATAACGATTAACGGAAGCCAAAACAAATGAAGAAAAATAAAATTCAAAATTGGAGGTGCGGGGAATCGAACCCCGTGCCTCTCGCATGCGAAGCGAGCGCTCTACCATATGAGCTACACCCCCTTGTTGTTGAATTGATCATAATATTCAACTTAATTATAAATAAATACTAATTCAAGCACAAATTACCTCTTCTGTAATTAAATTTGTTTTTTTCTTTTATGCTTTTTGGTTTGTTATTCTTAAGACGAGATAAACGGGAAGTGGGAAACGCCCGGAAATATGGGCTTCAAGTCAAGTAGTAAATTTTGATCCTGAAACATCATTCATCAAAAGAATACACGCAAAGCAGCGGAACAACATCTTTTTAACCTTTGGCAGCCAAAATTGCACCGACAATGTCATCTATGATGGTGGAAGGGGCATGCAAGCTCAGAGTTTCTGGCAAATTCAAACGCCTTTATTTCATTTTTTCAGAGCTCAGACTCGACAAAGAGACTAACGTTTGACAAATTTTCTGATTTGGAGACCACAACATTATACATTTTCTTGATCTTCGCCTCCCATTGTTTTATTTTCTTTTTGCAATTTGATGAATTTATACCGCACAACTACCTTTGATGTATGACAGTACAACAAAAAGAACAAGTGAACGCTCATTCAACTCTGTGCAGACTGGTTAGCTATTGTAGAGCTTCCCGAACTGTCCAAATTTTTTCTGTGCTTCGACTAATCCAGTTATTAGCTACAAGCTAGCACTAAAAAGATAGAAATGCAAAGCTGGCCTTGGAACAAATCCTTGTCCAGACTGTAGATACAGCTCAATCCAGACTGCATTCACAAGTGAAATAGCTATACAACATTGAAACTTCATCGTCAACTAGGTGCAATATGAAGCTGATCACGAGAGGAAATGAAGTAAAAGTCAAAACAACAGCAGTTTGATATTCTGAAACATAACAGCCTCCCCTCAACCGTCCAAACTACTAACACATTCATTTCCTAGCGATGCAAATCAGAAGCTCTAGATATGCTCTAGCATGGGACCTTCGGGACTACTTGCCAAAACGGCCTCTTTGCCATGGGGGATATCGTTGGCCACCGCCAGCATTATTTCTTCTTCCCTGGTTGTTGTTACTCTGTTGCGACATCACTCTCATCCTTTCCTCTTTCATGTTTGCAAACAATGAATCTAGTGTTTGTGGCTTCTGCTTGTTAGACACGCTGGAATGTTGCTTGTGTTGCTGACCACCATATGGAACAGACTCCTGAAACTATAGCCAAAATGAAAATTTAGCAAGTTTAGATTCTATTAAAGATAATCAAAGATACCGGAGAGCTGTTAGAATCAGATTTGATTAGAACAATCAGTTGTAACATATTAAAGCAAAGTTCAAATCAACATCACACATTAAATTTCAGAAATCGAAGTCAAAAAAAGGTAACCGTTTCAAGCAATTATTATCAAACAATAATAACGTACATTCCAGGGAACAAAATTAATCCAATAAAGGAATGAGAATGGTACCTGCATCCTGAAGCCACCTCCACTAGTCACAGCTCTCTCGTGAACAAAAGCACCACCCCTGCACACATACAAACTAGCTGAAGTTTTAAAAAGAAAAATGATACAAGTTTACCGAGAGTTTTAGCACAGCGGGTATGCATTCAAAGCTGGGCCGGACTTAGAGATTCAGCACATTTTTAAGTTTGGCAGTTAAAGTAAATACTATCATCTACAATCCTGGATCTTTGTCTTCCCCAATCTCGCCTCCAGCAGAATAGCAATAGGACAACAATCATGGTTATCCACCACTAATGTAAAAACTTCCGAGCTGACATCTACAGAAGAAAAATAAAGCTAGTTCCCGAACACCGCAGGGATCTCCTATGCCCAGAAGTAAATCTGACAGTCTTCAAGCATATAGTAACATCTTCTATTTCAACTACAACAATAGTTCATCAACTAGCCATGACCATCCTAGGATGAACATATACAACTGACAAAAAATTTCAAAAACAACACAAGCTGTAATAAACCAAGAATCCTAGGCCCATAAGCAAAATGCTTAGCCAATGAGTAGATACCAAAGTTGATCTAGAAACTCAATGCCCAGTACTGAAGATATTGCCAACAATCACAAAAGCCTTCAAGGAATTAGTCTTGACCTCCCTAACATTTGCTTCTTTAAGTCTGCATGTGATAATTGTAAATGACACAGGAGACTTTGACCAAAGCAACCTCAATAAACAGAATTTGCAGCTAAAGGCCGATCAAAAGGTACCCAAGTGTCCCATGAATAGCGGAAGAGAAAATGGGATGACATATACTATTTTGTTCCTGTTGGCCTTGATTTGACAACAAGAACTTGACCTTGTCAGTTGCACATAACAAATCATTGGCTGTTAGAGCCAACTCTGGCCAATTCGCATGGTTTCATTAATAGATAAAGCTCATTAGTGCATCTGTAAGCATAACCACCCTTCAACTGCTGGGAAAACTCAAGATACATACCAATGAATGCAACATGGAAAACCAACCCAGACGTCGTTCCGTAAACAACTGCAAAATAATCAACAATTTCCGAGAACCATGCAAACAGGCAGCTTAAAGGGAACATAATTTATGAACCCCAACACAGCTCCCTTTGAGACTTCATACAAGAACTGTCTCCCGTCTCCACAAGGCAAATCAAAGTCTCACTTCACAGAAACGTGACTGGACAAGCTCTAAAGGCCTCAAATTGGTGACCCAAATACTTAAAAGGTTTAGACATCTATATACTAGGCCACAGCAATTTTAACTGCAGAAATCAACTCTAGGTTAGTAACAGTATTTCCTCCAGTCCCTTCGTTAGCACAACTAACTTTATGTGGTTTTGGCATGAATCATGGCTCACCATCATTATCAAAATCATGAAATTTCTAGCTGCCAGTACTACAAAACCCTCCTCCTTATCCACACTTGGGACCATCCATGCTAAAAAATAACTACTTTTAGAGGCTTTTTCCAGTTTACTGTGCCTTCACTTACCCCTTACTGTATAATCCCATCAACTTCATGCTCTTTCCAACTTAAAATCAAGAACCACAACTAAGGCAATGAAGGATAATGACAATTTACCTGCAATTAATTAAAACCAGTAATCACCATCATCTCCAACAAAATATACAATCTTTTCTAATCAAATTCTGCATGCCTATCATTATTGCAACAGATATAACCACCACCACCCCCCCCCCCGTGGGAATTGTAGAGCATCTTCAAGTGAAAATGGCTGCTGTACCTTGGTCTATTTGTATTCACTGCTCTGACTGCATTGAAGGGTTTATTACGAATAGGTATAGCTGCAGCTTTTTTTGCTGCCTCAGCAGCCAAAGGAAATTGGTTTCTCTGAGAATTGGATCTCCTCTGAGCAAGTGCACCCTGCCAAAATAGATATGAATAAAGTAATTGTCACAACCATGTGTGTTACTTCTATTTTAAACAACCAACAATGACCAGCCGATGGCCAAGATCAGCTAAAATCTACCCACATACCTGTCGCATAGCAGATCGTGTATCCATAAACCTTTTCAGCTTCATAGCTTTATCTTGGGTCGAATTGTTCACCGAATTTTTACTCCTATTCTGAATGGTCCAAAAATTTCATTAGAACCAGATGTGTACAGATGGAAACAAATATGCATTTTAACATAATCAAAACCAGTCCAAAGGATGCAGTTCTCTTACCGAAATTCTCTGCTTCCTAGGTTTAACTGTCTTGTTCTTGGACATTTTGATGATATCATCTGCACAAAGATAAGCGGACACAAAGAAGTAAATAACTAAAACATCCATACAACTCAATCCGACCAAATCAATCAATATGCCACATTGCTAATATAAGCGTACCTAAAGTCATGTCCATCTTTTTCTCTGTCATTGCAATTGCCTCCTCGGTAAGTGGTTTGGCCGCCATCTGCATATATATATTTGGATTATGTTACATGAATAATAGAAACTGAGAAACCAAAAGAGTTGACGATTGCTTTTCAATCTTTCTTCCACAAACCTAACCGACAAAGCTAACTTCCTCCAAAGCCAACACAAAGACTACTTCACAAACCATCCGTTTATACCGTATTCATCCGCGAAAATACACAGAAATCGAACAAGAGGGGAAAATCAAACGCAGACGGAACGAAAATATGCGAATTAGAAGATGATGTAGTACCTTATCGGAGCAAAGTAAAACGGCGCGAAGTACCTAGCTAAGCTGATATTGCGACCGACGGAGGATTCCGGTTGCTAGGGTTTCGAAGTTCCCCTATAAAGATGAGGAGATCTTGAGGATTTTAGGTAAGGCGGCGATGAAGAGGAAACCGCAAAAACTGATTATTAATTGCAGCGGCGTCACTTATATAATTTTATTATTACAAAGGATTTCCTGATTGGCGGAAATTTAAACCATAAAAAAAATATATACTTAATGAAAGCAGCTCATAATATTTTTTTAATTAAATTTCCAGCTGGAGTCTGGCAGTCTTATTTTTTTATTCCTTTTCTCTTTCTATCAACAATTTTTTTAAAAATCTTTTTAGTTAAAGGAATTTTAGAATGTGTATGAATTTTTTTTTTGATAATATGAAGGTGTAGGATGAAGAAAGATTAATGTGAGGAAAAAAGAGGTGCTTAAGAGGAAGAACAAATACATAGCTGAGGGCGACCTTAAGTACAAATATATATATATTTGAGCTTCAACCTGTATTTGTGCATCCGGAAGATTGCCAATTAAGACCTTACAATCCATTTGAACCCTGATTCTAGTGATACTCAAGGATTGATGCTTTTGTAAAAGCTGATAAACAAGTCATGGTTTCCGTTTCAAAAAAGGGACAACGCTTGAATATTAGTTCATTTTAATTTTTTTTTATATATATATATATTGTGGAGGCTAAAAGACTAAAGTTACATATTTCCTAGCACATAACAAATGGTAAAGCGGTAAAATAGCCACTTTGACCAAATCTAAAGAGCAAAAAACCGTTTCCCTTTGTTGATCTGCATCAAAGCACCGATCAACAATAACATCAGCAATACCAGAGATCGTCTTCCAAATTGCCCGCAAGAATCTTGCTTTACTACCACAAGCCTTTTCATATAGGAGCTCTAATTCCACTTTGTTCTTCATTGTTTTACCAAAATTCACAAAATAATAAGATTGTTTTCAATTAATGGTTGTATGAGAATTTAGTAATCTACCTAGCGGTATCAGGAGGTTCCTCCTCCAGATCAGAGAAGCGCCTATTATCCATCTCAATCAGGTGCTCCTCAGTATGGTTGTCATCCAAATCTTCAAGGTCCTCTAGAGCCGCCATAATAACCTCCTTATTTTCCCCCTTTTTGCCATTGACTTTGAATTTGGATTTGATGTTGAAAGCATTAGTTCCATCCCTTGATTTTTGGTTGGGGGGAGGACAGTTTGTCTTGGACATCCGGTGAGTTAAAGCCGTTAAACCTGTAACCGGGTGAGAGATATGTACTACTGTGTGATTTTGACCATTTAGAATAGGCTGAGAGATAGCCACATGCCTTGATTGATTCCCTGCTTGGCCATGGTTGGTGGTGTTAACAATGGCTTCATCTGTTTTTCGACTTTTTTCTTTTTCAACTATCTGATGGATGCTTGTTGAGGCTGGGCCGTTTGGGTTTCTACGCTATTGGGCTTACTTGTATCTTGCTTGGGTGAATAAACTGGTGTCTCCCTAGCCTCATTCTTCCTCTTGTATGTAGAACACCCTTGTTTGGGCTTGTAAACTTGAGTGGATGGATGGCCCATTTCAAAACCCTTAGATGCATTGGAGCTGTTCTGAACCAAGTTGACTTCCTCGTCATTGTGCTCGATTATCAGTGGGGCAAACTTTGACTAACTCGCGAAGGACTCCATTTTTGCCCCGATTTTATGCCGTTGCTTGTCAGTAGCCGTTGTGAGCCCAGACCTAGGTGGCCCCCTCCACACTCTCTTCGGTGCCTGCATCCATTCTCCGATTCCAATCGGCCGTTGCAGCTCAATCGATTTTATCCCAGACGAACTAGGTTGGTTGAGAGTTAATTTTAATTGCATGACCATACCATGCGCGATACTATTTTCCAGGCCTTACAGCTGCTCCTGTGATTGGATTGAAGGAACCATCAAAGATAATCACAGAACAGAATTCAATGGTCTTTTGGAAATGTTGGCCGGTGCTTCTTGAATAAGGCAAGGCATTTGTACTGAACTAAACTCGACGTTGTAACTGATGAACAGATGATAGACTATGTTCATCATGCCAACCACACCAAGGGCATGTCAGATCCAGCTGAATATTTCTTTTATTATTAAGTCCTTCTCTGGCAGTAAAGGCATTTAGTAGAACTCTGTGGGTTACGTATTCAACTGAAGAAAAAACTAATAAGTTAAATACTTAAATGTAACCATATTCACCATATTTGTATGTTATTACCACAAAAAGTATAGAAGTAAATAAAATTGAAGTCTTTCTCATCGTTGTTGGAGCAACATCTCTAAATTTTATTATTGTTCCTTGAATAACTCATCAAATTCCCAATCTCGATTTCTGCAATATCATTTCTACTTCTTTTTTTTTCCGAAACTCTTTTTATACATTTTCTTTAAGGAAAGAGAAAGAAGAAGAAGAAAAGAAATCGGGTCGCCATATCCGACTCTAACACAGGCACATAGACAATACCAAACTACTAAATACTCCATCCATTTCCATTTATCAAACGTTTTAGACACGAGATTTTTTTGTTTCTTTGCATAAGTTTTTCATTACCTAAAACTAACTAAATGCATTTTTCTTTTTTATGTTAATTGAGTTATTGACTAACTGAAATTTTCAACAACAATAAGGGAGACACTTTTGGTATTTATCTTTTACCTACTTTGTATTCATATGGAAAGTTGATGCATATAGTTCACGATACACACCAAGGGCTCTTCTATAACCACAGACTTGAACATCTCATACGGGTCCTTTTCAGTTTTTTTTCCCTTAGCGAGATGAGAGATCAAAGTGAAAAATAAAAAGGAATAATAACACCATCCATAATACTACTAAGACGCCCGATTCAATTAACCTGCAGTGAGGCATGAAGGAATCCGAGGAACAAAGCACACATTGAGGGAAGCTCTCCAAAAATGAAAAAGTACTAAGGAAAAAATGTTTAGGAAAGTTTTAATGTCTAGCTAGATGTGAGGTACAATGCAAATTATTTTCAGGGCTTTTTTCTGGGGAAGATTTTGTTCACCACCTGATACCCCGAAGACAAAATCACATTTATTATATAATTTATATATTTGTTATTATGGGATCATGTCTATCCTTCCAATCTTAACGGGGGATCTTTCACAGGAGAAGCAAAAAACACTTGAGGCTGGAAGTATCAGTTTTCCCCGTAGATCCATTTCTCTGCATTGCTTGTGTAACTAACCAACTCCTCCGGTTTGAACCATAGGCTGATTTCGTCCTTGGCGGTTTCAGGTCCATCACTACCGTGAATTATGTTTCTGAAAGCACAAGATACGTACATCAATTTGATGGTTCAGACAATTCAGAGACAGAATATGCATTAGGGTACAGAGTATTAATCGAATGCTTGTGCAGGAGATGCGGAAATGTTTGGATTACAATCTTCATTTCAAATGCAAGAAGGGTGGTTGCTAGAGTCGAGCAAATGCGCATGGTAAAACTCTATACTCAAATGGTTCAAAAGATGAAAAGAGAAAAAGTGGATGCATTACCTTCCAACCACAACAGCCAAGTCACCTCGGATTGTTCCTGGTTCCGATTTCTGAGGATCTGTTGCTCCAATGAGTTTCCGACCATACTTAATTACTCCTTCACCTTCCCACACCTGGATGAGTAAAACAATGCGTAAGTTGTATTTCTTTAGAGAAAAATTGAAAGGGTCAACATAGTGAGACATATACTCAGTTGTTTTTTTGATGTGTCCTTCAGAGAGCAATGTAAAAAGCAATTAAGCCTCCCCTATTGGGTTCAAGTTCAACTTACCATTGCGACTACAGGACCAGAGCTTAGGAAGTCGCAGAGGCCATTGAAAAATGGTCTTTCCTTGAGATCGTGATAATGTTTCTGGGCAAAATCCTTGGAGGGAACAACTACTTTGATTGCAACGAGCTTAAAACCCTTGCGTTCAAAGCGTGATATGATTTCTGAAATCTGGAAGAAGATGCACATTGTTAACATCAGATGGTTGAACACTAAGGTATCAACACTGTACAGTAACTCCTCTCTACATGATGCGCATTTGTGAAAAAGCATTCACATGATTATTCTTGCAGAAAACACGTTGCTAAATCAATATGTAGTGCAGAAAATTTTCAAGAACAAATAGTCGATAAAGGACATGTCTTACCAGTCCTCTCTGCACTCCATCAGGCTTGATGGCGATGAAAGTACGCTCCATCTAGAGAAAGATGAAAAAGACACTATCCGTTAACAAGCAGAAACTTTACCAAATCATTATTGAAATTAGTTCTAAATGTGCACGAGGAACATATCAACACAGAGGCAGGCACTGTACCTGGGCAGCATATGCTTCCTGCTCGGTGAGCATAAAAGCTGGATTAAAAACAAAATCAGGAAGCGTGAGAATTTCAAAGTAACTAAACCAAAACAACAGATCTTGCTTGCAACATGAAGAGACAATCAGCCTTCAAATTGTAAAACTGGCTTAGACTAGTTTCCAGTTTTCAGGGAGCTCACATATCCACCAACATAACAATGCATAAATTGATCTGTGAAGGGTTCATTTTTCTTTTAGTATAGTACTGTCGGGGAGAAAAGCAAGGCAGTTATTCATAATTGTGTACAGCCTAAGGGTGGGATTTCACCCCGTTCCCATGCAAAAGGATGGGATTAATTACTTTTGAAGAGGTTCCGGATGCCCCAACACTAAAACTAAAGCGACGGACAAGGCTCCTCTTCTTGCCACTCAACATTAGGGATGTGTCAAATTATAGCTCTTATGCAAACACAACTTAGGGTCTTAGGATCATTAGACCATGTAGGGTCAGCTCAATGAATAATGTCACCATCATATTGTGTCAAAACACGTACTTTCATTTAAATTCAAATAAAGGAACATCCAAATTGGATCCACATGCCATGCGAGGTTCATATGAAACAAATCTTTCAGACAACTAAAAATAATGGCGAAATTCAAACCTGCGGCTGGAAGGGCAAGAAGTCCAGCAATCCAGTTTCGAGAAGCATTTCCTGATTCTTCCCTGCCATATGCTGCTAAGGAAGCCAAACTTCCTCTCAATGAAACTGCTGTTGCACCTGCAGCTGCTCGCGCTCCACCTAAAACCAGATAAATTGGGTCAGTATGCCTAGTTGGTCAGTGAACTTGGGTTGATGTTCATATTTTGACTCCCAATCTTTAATGCACCAACATTTACAGCAGAATTATTTTGAGGTAAATTTCCCCGTTTCCATTACCAAACCACCATATCACCAGAGACAATTTTTCTTTTTCTCCAGAAATAATATCCTAATATGTTGAAAAAGTAGAGAAAATGATATCCTACGATGTTGAAAAATTAGAGAAAATGATATCCTAATATGTTGAAAAAATAGAGTGATTTGATTTCCAGAGGCCAGACAATTCAATTCCAGATACAAAAAGAAATAAGCTTTTTACTCAATTACAGGAAAACCCCACAAATCAGACAAAATAAACAAAGTTATAAAAAGAAAAAGCATCAGACACTATCATTCATGCAATCTACGATGACAAATGACATAGTAAATTCTACATTCAATCTCAATGATTTCGAATCAAGATTTGATTTTGAGTCCCGGGCTCCATTTATTAAAAAAAATAAAATATAAAAAACCAACAATCAAATCAACCAATGCCTAATAACTAAAACCCCCAGGAATTAATATCAATATGATTGCTAAAGCATCCCATCCCATATATTAGTTTTTTTTCTTTTGGATATTTATTTTCACCACTGAAATGCATTCAGACAGAAAGCAGTGAAAGTTTACCGGAAAGGGCACGAGTGGTCTGCTTAGAGGAAGCAGAGATGAGAGTCCTTGCAGCTCTTGCAGCAGATCTGTAAATCTGTGAGTTCATTTTTTTTTTTTTTTGAGGTTTTGGCTTCAGAAACTATGGAAATGGAAGAAACAGTCAGAAAAAAGGGAGCGAGGAGAGTGAGAATATAAGGAAACGAGCGAGGCCTTTTTCAGCCGATGAGATTTGTTGTACTTTGTGCATTGGGAGGTTGTACAGTGAATCTTATGATGACACCTGGCATCTAATCATCACGTGTGTTACGAGGTTTAACCTCAAACCCTAAGCCCAACAAAATCATTGGAAGCTCAAGTAGATTTTGGGATGATTAATCTTGATTTCCAATTTTCTGCCACTTTATTAAGTCAAAATTTACAATGGTTGTGTTTGTACGTTTTCATAATAATGACGATTTGACTGAAACCAAAAAAAAATGTCAAACACATAGAACTAGTATCAACAAAGTGCGAGTACAAATACTTTGCAATAAGTTTATAGCACTAAATTTTAGACCTTCAACAAAAATTGTCAAAAAAATATTCGATTGTAAAATCATAGTAATATATATTCCTCCGCTACTATACAAAAGTTGCAAATTAATAAAATTAGTCGAGTAGTTCATAAATAGAATAAGAAGGAACACTGCTCTGCTCCAATTTTGAATAATACTCCCTCCATTCCAAAATAAGTGTCATCCTACACTTTGTACATAGTTTAAGAAACTATTAATTAGGATAATAAAATTACTTGAATATCCTCAACTAAACCCCATTAAAACAATGTCCACCAATAGTATTAATTCTTTTGAGGGTAATTTTGGAAATTTTAGACAAAAAATGCATTGAAATGTGAGAACGACACTTATTTTGAAATTTCTTCATTTTGCTAAAACGACACTTATTTTGGAACGGAGGGAGTATTACTAATTCTGTCTGGCAAACATAATTAGAAAAAATATAATACGCATCCCGTGTTCAAAATCATTTCTTCGACTAATTCGAATTCGAATTGGGTAATTCTTTTCGGGAGATAAAACTCTTTCAAAAAGAAATTTAATCACTGCTGCATGTTCATGGTTAGATTTTAACAACTAATCTGGTCCACTATCTTTATCACTTAAATCAAGTGATTAGAGAGAGTAATCATTTTTAATAAAATAAAAATAAATCTATAAAAAGAAAAGTGAGATTTCGTACTCGAGTACTAAAACACGAGCATTGGAAGTTGCCGACAATGGCTTCTTACGCCCGGACCAAGTGCATCACGTGTGCTCAATTCAACCATACATACAAACATCCCGTGTTAGTTAATATTCCATCTATTTCAAAATATAAGTTTTTTTAGTTTTTACACTAAAATTAAGAAAATAATTATTTAATGATTAATTTGTGTATTAATTGTTTTGGATCTATAACCAAAACTAGATGAAAAATGGTTAGCATCATTTATTGAGGGCAAAATTGAGAAATTAATCTTTAATTTGTCTTGAAATTCTAAAACGACCTATGTTTTAAAATATTTCTCCAAACCTAAAACGACATACATTTTAAAATAAAGGGAATAATGCACTATTGCAAATCATCATTAATTTCTTTCTTGATACAATCATATTCATAGTCAGAAATTAAACTAATATGATCCCTCAATCCCAGATGTACTGAATGTAAAAATCTAAATCAGTACAATCATTTTATTGTACTAAAAAAGAAAATTGAACGGGCGAGGTAGTATGTAATTCATATTTATGATTTTGTCTTAAGGCCACAATATGTATGTTTGCAAGTTTATTCAGTAGTCTTACACATTAGTTCCTGCTTTAATGGAATTTAGGTGAATGGAACTCTTTATGTGAGAATAAAGAATAATAATTAGTCCAAGAAAAATGTGATTCTGGCGAAGATTGTTGCATAGGAAATGCTTTACTTGTAGACGTAGAAAAGATCAAATTCCAAAAGGATTATTCACATACCTAGTGTGATTAAATGGCTTTTTATAGGCCCTAAAAATACTCTCTCATATGTTAACATTCCATTTTATCGCATCACTTTTAAGTCTAAATTAAAAAAATTATTGATACGAGACGAAAGTGACAATAACAACACAATCGTTCTATGAAAAGTACATATCATGCAAAGGAAAAATAAAATGTAAATTATAACAATGTACAACTATGATCTCTGTACCTAATCAAAAATCTTTTTCGACTGCAGAATAGATTTCAATTTTCCCAGATAAGACTACATGATTGAAGTGAAGTTTTGTCAATTTTTAAGTATGCATCTGAACTGTAAGCTAGGTTCATGTTATATGTAGAGTACGAGAGAGATTATTCTCTGTAGTACAACAGAACAGACTATTTATACTATGACTCAATTACACATACTAATCATTAAATGAGAAAAAGCAGTCCTCTGAAAAGTTGATGTCGAATGGCTAGTTTTGCAGAAGAAAAGCAAACGCTTGCTGTAATTTAGCAAGGACTATGCGGAGAATGTACAAATCTTACAGAGCAATTTCCTAACCGATCCAAAAGGAAACAGAATGTTTCCATGTTTCCAACTATTTACACTTCCATCTGAATCTACAACACTGTCAAATTCTTTCTTCAATATCACTCAAGGGTTTCTAGTCTGAATAAAAAACCGCTGTCAATTTCCCCTTAAATCATTCAAGAAACTTTCGACTCACATCCTGGATCGCTATGCATCTGTAGTGCTTCTAACCAAGAATCAACCTAAAGCAATGTACCAAAAGAAAGAAATTGTAAATGAAGTGAACGGGATTCAAACGTTGACCAGAACTATAAATTCAGATCTCCAGTTATACTATCTTGTTGTTTGCGTTAGCTACTCTGCTTGACCAGTTAAATGCCTTTGGTTATGTATGATGTATACAACTGATGAACTCATTACCTGTACTTTAGAAGCACTCGAGCACTCATATCGCAGACCATGACGAGTTAAGATGTAAAAGCAATACCGGACTTCCTCATCTTCTCTTGTAATGTTCGGGAGAGGGCCAACTTCAACCACATCAGAAAGAAGTGTGGAGTCCTGAGGGCTCAAATCTGCAAAATATCATTTTAACCTCATTAGTATAGTACTTACAAATACAACTACAACAACTTAGCATTTATCCCACTTTTTTACTGTGGGCTAATCTGTATGTCTCATATGTATCCATTGTGTTCCAGCAAAACAATCTAGTAATTAGAAATCATTAGATGTGAAATTTGATGAACCGCATTATCTTGTCCATCCAGCAATTATGTTGAAAAGGTTGGATTCTTTCTCCTTTTTTTTCTCTCTACAATTTGGTATATTAACAATTCAGACAAAGAGAATTGATGACTTGTTAAACCCACTACAGTTGGACTATAAAGCATACCTGTCGATACCAAGTAAAGATAAATACATGATCCTTGGAGAACGAAAAAGCGTGGGAGCCAGTCATCAACCTCTGTGTCATCAATTGGAGGAGGTTCTCCTGGTAATGTTGCCCATCTCTGTAAAAAAGAAAGGAGAAAAAAAATTTACAATTGCCGAGCAAGTGGACAAAGAAGTGCACCCCTTATTAAGGAAATAAGTTTTAATAAAGGTTTACTACTAATTCATACCATTCTCATATGCAAGTATCCTGATAGACGAGCAGACCGCAATACTTCGTCAATATGTTCTAACCTAAATCAAACAGTAGAAAACATAATCAGATTAAATAATAGAACTCTGACATTAATCAGGTAGAAGAAAGATAAGGTAAATCTGCATATATGTATCCGGCCTTATTGGTCAAAAACTCTTAGAAGCAGAGAATGAAGGAACTCGAAGCACCGAGCTGCCCTTTAAAGTTAAAGCAGTAATATAAAATTACATAAGATATCACATCACATACTGGGCTTTCAGATGAGCTTCTTTCTCTTCTAAGTCAGCTATCTCTGATCGAAGTGAAGCAACTTCTGTGGCTGACAACACGACCTGAAAAATATTGTGTAATCTATATTTACATCTAACCATAACATAAAATCAACAAGAAATGGAATTCTGTTCTACGAAGAATCAAACCTTTTCCTGACCATCTGCGCCCCAAGGCAACCCTCGTAGACTAAATAAATTCAACATGGAAGCAGCACTCTTCAATTGCACTCTACCCCACAAACGACTGCGAGGTCTATCCTAGTACAAGAGTAAATGAACAAAATGTAAAAACCAACGAAAAGTATGTCTCACAATCGTCATCATTCAGTCAACAAACTAGCACCTCGGGTAACTATTAGTTCGTAAATCTGAGGCAGATGAAGTTTGACTTCTATGAGTACTAACACTGGAAGTAGAAGGTTCAAAATGATCGGGGAAAACCTCTATTCCTCGTGGACCATCACCCATGAAGCTTTACTTCAGGTCAGAAAACCTGTGGATAAGTAACTTCAAGTCAAATTTATAAATCACACCACCACAAACTTCTGTTCCTAAATTTAAAGGAATTTCAGAATCACACAGTCAAGCCAAGTAGAAAAACACGATTTCTGCATATTTCTACTGCTCAATCACTATATTATATGAAGATTGATAACTGAAATAAGGCAATGTAATATCTAAGTTCATTCAAGAAAGTTACAGAAACTGACAGTAGTTCTTTATGACTTGTAAACCAAATAAACAACTCTTGTCCAGCAAACATACAATAAAGGAATCATAGCTTCACAGTCAAGACTGATATCGAGCAATGAACATCAAATTACTCACTAAGCAGTTATGAAAGGCCCCATGTCAAACTACTATTTATAGCACTGGAGGGAGTACAGAAACCAGGAATATATAGCCTACTTATATAAATTGAAGTAACAGAACCTCCCAAAAACCAGGCCAGAAGTCACTATGACAATGCGATTAATAATAAACTTTCTACTAGCTTCCTGACTAATTAAACCAATAAAAACTACCTCAAAATTTAAATTAGAATTGTAACGCTAACAACCATCGATATAGTTCCAGCTAATAGCAAAAAGCAAAAAACTATACGATACCAGGACTGACCGAAATCCACTTCTTTAGATAAACTACGGATCAAGTTACATTGTTAATCCACTCATCACTCATCAGGAAAAGACATCCACAAGAATGCTGCAGAGCATTCCCAAGAATAATATAATTCCAAAACTAAACATGAGATTGATCAGTTTTAACCACATTAGTGGCGCAATCAGGAATAACAACATGTAAATGAATCAAACATCAGCTTGATGTCAACATAACAATAACTTGATCATTAGTTGTCATTTTTATTTACAAAAACCGCAATCACTAATTCTTCTAACACGAAAACAGAATGACAGAATTCCATGATTTCAACATAACATTCCCAATTTCGCAATCAGTTTTTTTTTTTTTATTTATTTTTTTTAAAAAAATAGGCCTATACCGAGTGGATCACAAAAACAGTTGAAATTCACATGATCGCAAGAAAAAGAAGTGAGACTTTGATCCCCTTCTTTCACCCTAAATTAAAGTTCAATCAAATCACTAGAGAAAGGTGAAAATACAGTAGTTAACTCGAAATAACAACAATAAACACTAGTAATTAACAGGACAAAAACACACGACATAAAAGAATGAATTAGAACAGAAACTTACTTGAAGTTGGGAACCAGTACGACTATGAAGATTCGAGGAAGACGATGATGAAGAATTTTTGGGCCGAAATTCTACGACGAATAGGAGACGGAGGAGAGAGAGAGAGAGAGAAAAACAAAAGAAAGAGACGGAGGATTAAGGCAAAAGTAGCTGCTTTTTTAAGCTCTTTAAGGAACACAAAAGTCATCTAAACTATGATGTCTGACACGTCAGCAATACTAATTAGTACTAGTATGATTGGTTGGTACTCTGGCTTTCTGGTTGTACTCCCGCGAAACACCCCATCATTTATTACCATGCCATGGCATACACACACCTTCTTTGAGGAAATTGCTCTTTTTCTTTTTTTCTTGTTTTTGGTACTTTGCTTTTCCTATGCGTATTTTTTTTCATAATTTTTCCCAATGTACTATTTCCTATGGTTCATAGTCCATTTGTAATGATGTCATACAATAATCTTCTTCTTCTTCTTCTTCTTCTTAATCTTTTCTTTATAACACATTTTTTTTTTTATTTAAATCTTCTCTTTAAAGGTGTCGCAACAAATTCTGTGTTTGAATTAGTAGTTGTCAGAAAAATCTGCAATGACATTTTCTGAAGTTAATTCATACGACTAAATATCCTTTTTACAAATCCTTTAAGTAGTGAATTTTAAGTAGGAAAATGATATATATAACATATTTATATATATATATATAATAAAAAATATATAGCCAATGGATAGTGATTGATGTAAAATGCGTAACCATTTCTTTTTTGTTAGTAATTATTAAAAGAGTGGCATGACTTTTTTTTTATATTTTTTATGAGTCACTCTTCCAATTGTCACTATATATTTTTTTATTATTGTCCTTTTTAAATTTCCATTATTTTTTCTTTTGAATCAAGAATTTGCCATTAGTTTCAGTCACTACCCGCTCACTCAAATTTAATGACAAGTTAACTTGTAGGCCATTGAAAATCCACACATACACACAAAAAAAGAAAAGAAAAAAAAGAAGAAGAAAGTCCTAAACTGATGAAAAGAAATGTATGAAAACTATTTTCAGTTAGTTAACTTGTAAAGCTATTCTAAACAGAATAACCCCAACTTATATCTAAACTAATTCAGATCTAAAAGTTTCAATCCCTGCCACACAAATAAAATTTAACCATGTGTAATGGTAATATATTTTGCAGTCAACTTTAACACATATTTCTTATTAAAACAATATTTCTTAAGTTGCAACTCTTGCTTGCAGGACATGAAAGAAAAATCCTTATTTTTCACCGAGAACTATTTTTTTTTTATCCCTTTTGAAAAACTGCAATAAACTGAACGTAGCAACAGTTAATAGCAGATCTTACCTTCGCTTGTGCACAAAAGTAGAACAAGGGGATGGATCACCACACTTATCTCCAAATCACACCCGCAAACCAAAAACTTCGACGAAGAAATGAACTCTTTAAACTAAACTAAATGTTTTATTGCTTTTGTAAAACTAAAAATGAAGCAGCGGCAGCACACAAGATCGGGAAGATAATTAGAGAAGCGCTACCGACGGGGGCATTTCAAAAACTAGCAAAACACAAAAAAGAAAATAAATGTCTCAATGTGTACTTTCAGGAGAATGATGATGATGACGATGTATCCGACTTAAATTTACTGATCCTGACTCATCAATTGACTCTGTCATCACTACCTCACACCCCTCGGTCGACGACAAAACCAAGGGTTCACATTTTATATCATCATCAGCCATCTCTTGATCCTCGCCGGTACCAGCCACATGATTATCCGCCATCAAACTGCTTGGTACAGATGACTCCACAGCTTTCTGAGGCTCTAGGTCAGTCATCGAACCATCTTTTGGCCCCATCTTCTCCCTTTCGGGCTTCTCCAGATCATCAGCAACAGCAACAACAGGTTCATCTAATTCAAGTTTGGCAGCGACCACAGGTTCATCCAACTCCTCATTGCCCTCCATTGAAACATCTTCCAACTTGGGCTTAATTACAGGCAGCTGCTTGACTTCCTCATTGCTACTTGGATATAACTCACCCAGTTGCGCATTATCAACTTTATGATTATCAGAGAGGTGCATCTCCAGATCAGACTCCACTTCGGCCTTGATGCACAACTTGGATAACCCGGGGTTCTCCCCTCTAATGACCACAAACTCCTCTCTCTGTTTCTTGTACAGAGTTATGGCTTTCTGCAAATTAAAAAAAGCAAAAGGAAACATTAGCAAGAAATAAATGTCTGTTTAACAGCCCAGCAATTTGAAAGTAGATAAGAGGGTATCTTCGACTACGAGCTTAAAACTGACACAAGACAAGCTTCATACTGAATATAAAATTCATAACGACAACCAACGCAACCCTACATCTGAACTCCTAATAAACACCTTTGCACCCACAATTGTCACGACATATGCACACACATCATGCCAGCAGTAGCATTTCACCAATTTTAATAAATTGTCTACTGCTAACATCACATAAAACCACATGAAACCACAGTCACTAACCACATATCAAGCACTATCTTAACAATTTCAAGAAAATATCAACTTCAAAAACCACAAAATCACATGAAAACATCTTCACTAACAGAATATCAAGCATCTGTAACCAATTTTTAGGAAAAAGTTATGAACATAACATAAAACCAGATCAAAACACAATTCACTAACCACATATCAACCAATACTACTTCATATAAACCCACTAATAACCACATTTACCTGAAAAATAGAATCGCCGATATTTGTAAAGGGTGAATTTCTCGATTTTGAATCGTGAATATCATTTTCGGCAGCCTCCTGTAAATCGAAGAGACATCTCAGTTAAGGGATAGTAAAAAAAGAAAGCATTTAAAATCATGCACAACCAGAACATAATAGCTACCTGCACGTACAAAACCTTCGAATCTTCATCACCAAAAATTATTTTCTGATCCACATCGATCAAGCCTGTACACTTACTATACAGCTCAGGGTCAGCAAGATCAGCAGAAATATCGAGCTTGGAAAGATAAACATGATAATGACTAAGGTTATCCTTGTACAACTTTCTCGAAACGTGAGCCACAGCAGGACCATTCTTGGTTTCGTTTTCAGGATACTTTTCCGGATCGCTGTACTGCTTAGGTTCACTGATCTCAGTGGGATTATCAGTTTGATTTTCATCAATTTGAACCCGTTCTGCAGTCTGGCCAGGCAAAGATCCATCCGGTAAATTAGTATACCTGCTTTCCTTCTCGGAGCTATCCATGCTAGTATCACCTTTTGGACCCTTCCACATATCTGAATTAGATTCCACGCCCCGACCACCGGGCACGGGTCTACTGTGATCCCATTCGGGCCTCGCATATACATGAGGTTCTTCACCAAAAGGAGCATTATTAGGATCCCAAACATGAAGAGGTGGGTACGAATCATCCATTGAGTTTCGCCACATTGGCCGAACATGGCTACCAAATCTCTCAGAATCGGGGATATGATATGGAACTCCATGACTATTAAACTCCATTGAAGATCTTACATTAAACAAATGTGGAGAAAATTGTGGCATTACTAAATGGGGAGCAACAGGAGAAGGGGCATGTTGAAAAGGCATGAACCCATTGGCAATCTGTGGGGGCCAGCTTGGATTCCAAGGGCTCCCTGGAACTCTGGCCAGATTTGGATTTCTATGGCGGTTATTGAACTTCATTCTATTATCATCTTCAGCAGCTCCAAAATTTGAAGGCCCGTCAACCCCTGTCCTGAAAGGAGGTACATGAGACCTAGGGACGAAATGACCAGGCCTAACAAAGGGCGAAGAAACAGACAGATTGTCTCCCTCAGCCTGGGAATGGTCGTCACCTGGAAGTGGGTCCTTGGGCAAAACGCGGTTTCCTCTGCCTTCCTTACCAAAATAATCTTTAGCATCTCTAGAGCCACCACTTCTCTGCTCTTCAACATCAATACTCCGTCTAACATCAGATTTACTCACATGCCTGCGATCCACATTTATTGATGAAGGGGACTTATCAATCAACTGTCCGGGAGAATGTTTAGAATGAATATCATCCTTCTGAATGTTCATCTCCACTGCTCTGGATGAAGAGACCTTATCCGTCGCTCCAGAAGAACCGGGATAATCTCTACCAGAGGTTGCAGCATGCCTACTTCTATCTTCATATGCATACTCCCTATATTTTGACTCGTCATGCTTTGAAAGCCTGGAAAAGAAATCAAAATGGAGATATGAGCTATGCACTCAAGAGATGGAAACTACGACACACCCTCATAACGCCATTTAGAGTAACTGACCAAAATGATTTGTACATTCAGCCAAACATGTAAATTTGTTACTTAGAACCTTCTCAATAAGGACCACTTATAAAAAAATAAAAATAAAAAATCTACAGAGCTTAAAGAAAAGTAAAGGGAAGTCACGGTCCATCATTGAAAATATATCCCGGGCTTAAAGAATATAGACCAAGTGACCAACATGAAAACCAAACTCACTTGAAGAAATTTCTTGAATAATCTACACTGAAACACCCCTATTTCAAAGTTACTTTACAAAATTTACGGATTAAATAATTAAGATGCCCAGCATTGATCTACACAAACTAAAATATATATAGTCCAGAAAAAAGTTTGCTCCTATCAAGCATTCACAAAAAAGGAAAATAGAAGTCCCAATTTGTATTTCAACCAGGAACCTTTGTGACATGATAGATAAGGATGATCAATGCTATGCAGACATATCTACATGAACTAGAAAATAATGCGGTAAAGAAAATAGAAGTGAAGGCAAACAATGCACCCACCAACAAGGTAACATAATGAAATATGAACTTCACCTACCTATAATGGTCCCGAGTAACATGACCACCGGAACTAGGTGAACCTTGAGGTCTACTGCGGCTTGGAACTCCGTCTAGGTCAGTATTCCTTGAAGCAGACCTCCTTTCACTACTCAGGTCAACCCTAACATTGCTAGCTGATCTCTTATCAGCATCATATCTTTGATCTTTAGCACTCCGTGACTTTGTATCACCATAATCCTCTTTATCAAGCTTCCTTTTCCGAACCTGGTCATCTTTCAACCTGGATCGATCATCATAAGTAGGAGAAGCATCTCGTGTGCCTGATTTCAAAGAATGCTCCGTAATGTGAACATCATCCCTGGGACGCTTAACATCAGAAGACTTATCACCGGCGCGGTCTCTTGAACCATGTTCATCCTTGTACTTACCATCTCTAGACCTCTTCTCTCTATCACCATCATCTACTAGCTTGCCATCCTTCTGTTTGATGTCTCTTTCATAATCTTCACGACGCTTATCGTCCTTATATCTGTCAGTATCTTCTCTATACTTGTCATCCCTGTATTTATCATCCTTCTCCAAGTCTTCATAATGCTTTTCATCATTTCTTCTCCTGTTCTTATCACCATCATCACGATACTTATCTTCCCTGCGCTTATTATCTCTTTCGCCATCTTCTCTATATTTATCATCTCTGCGCCGACTGTCTCTTTCACCATCCTCGCGATACTTATCATCCTTCCGACGAGTTTCCCTGTCACCATCTTCCCGATACTTATCCTCTCTTCTTCTATTCTCTTTATCACCATCCTCGCGGTACTTATCATACCTATAATCCCTATCCCCAACGTCTCGATACTTGGCATCCTTGTCTGCATCTTCTCGGTACTTCACATCACGATGTCTATCATCCTTCTCCACTTCATCCTGGTTCTTATCCCCATAAAATCCATCTTTGTACTTTTCATCTTTGTATTTTCCATCCTTAGAGTGGTCACCCCTCAAGGAAATATACTTCTCATCACTCTCTCTTGCATCAAGACCTTTATCTCTATCACCGGAGCCCTCTCGTCTCCTACGGATCCTCTTTTCAAGTTCCTTCTCAAGTTCCAAATTTCGGAAATCTTCCTGAACAGGAACATCTGCAAAATTTTGCAAATAGCAAATAATGTTATAAAACGATAAGCAAAAAAGAACAGAAATTACGGACCTTGAACAATCATTTTGACCAAGTTCTTGGAGTTTGAATGATTATTACATCCATGATAAAATTTTACAGCACTCACGAAATGGAACAAAAACACACTTTCCAAACTGATAAAGACACAGAACAAATCATAGGGAAGAGCTATCAGGATCTGCATAAAAATGGAACAACAGTAAACCATACTTCGCAAATGCCTGAAGGACAAAAAAAAAAAAAAAGAAGATAAAAATAGGATCCATTCACTGATACTACCCTATCCGTGATTAAGCAATATGATGATACACCGTAAATTAATGCCAAATAACAGAATCTTGAAAAAACATTCTCCATTCAACAGTCAAAGCAACACAACTCATTAGAATAGTTACACATGCCATCCAAGGAACCCCAAATTTTCCCAAGCTTCAAAATGGAAGAAAGAACTCCGAAGAACAAATCCTCTTACAAATTGAAGAATTGGGTACTGATCTGACAACTTGAAAAATTAAAAGTAAATGCAAAAACTTTCAAGCAAGGAATTTACTGAGACAAAAATAAGCTTCACATTTTTCATCATGCAACCAGTTAGGTTTACATTGTGAAGATCAAAGTGGTATTTACACTCAATAAAGATAAAATTCCCATTCCTTACCGTGGCATCACTCGGGAAACAGAAGTGAAACTCATGAATAGCACACTGAAGCCAAATTGAAGCCAATATATCGAAACCAAAAAAGAAAAGAGGGGCTCTCCACTAACACACTGAAGCAACTCAACAGTAAAAAACAGAAACTAAGACACTGAAATCATCATCACTTGACAAGGACACTGATACCCATGCAAGCATCTAATCAGAGTAATATCAATAAAGTCACCCCCAGTTAGCATATAGAGAAAATCTAAAAGTCCCAAATGTCAAGCCCCTGCTCATAGGAGTGGGGAACAAGGTGATAAAAACACCATTTTCTCTCAAGAAAAAGCATCCAATTGGATGAACATGCAGAGTAACCTCAATACATGAAAACCGATGACAACTTCAGCAATTAAAATCTAGTATAAAATGCACGACCCCAACTACCAAAAGGAACAAAAAAAAAAAAGTTACCTTACCATTATTTTCTCTACCTTTCTTGCCCTGTCTTTCTTCTCCACTATCATCCCATTGTAATCCTTGCTTCTTTGGTAGTAATTCGCTGTCCCTTTTACTCTCCTGACCCTTCTTCTCCCTTTCCCTTTCCTTCACCTCCCTTGATGAATCTTTTCCCTCTTTCCTTCCAGACTCCTTCTCAGAAGACTTCCTCCTTGATTCACTCCTGTCCTCCTTCTCCCCGCTGCCACTCTCATGCCTTTTACTGCTACTCTTACTTTTCGAATCCCCAAACAACCCTTTACCAGATTCCTTGGATTTTGTGCCCTTCTCATAATCTATTTTCATACTTTCATCCTTCCCGTCTACATCAAACTTATCTTTTCGCCTTTTGGATGAAATGTACTCTTCCCCAGCAGCATCCCCATTTCCATTACCGCTCAGATCTTTTCCATCCTTCAAAAGCGAGGAAGAGGACAGCTTCCGCTTCTCCCCAGAGGCAGAATAGCTGGATGAATCCTTAGAAACCCTAGCAGCACCGCTGCCCCCTTCGTCTTTACTACCACCACCACTTCTCTCCTTATCCTTCTCCTTCATACGCACATAATCCTCATCCGAGTCCGAGTAGTACTCCTTCGCCTCCTTCGAACTGTGTTTGCTCTGCTTATGCGATTTGTGCCTCGAACTCCGCGGCATACCTGTCCGTTGAAATTCAATTCAACTTATTCCCTCAGCAAACACCCGCGCCGCGCACCCTTTATTAAAGAAAAACGAAACCCTAGCTTTTTTTTAATCCCTAATTCCTCTTCAATGTTGCAACTCAAAACCACGTCGATTCAGTTACGACAAGCCACCGACAGCAAGGAAAACCGACACCGAATCTGGAAAAACTCCGGCCGTCGGAAACCTAAACGTTGAACTCCGGCTGACTTATGTTAAAGACCCAGATCGCTGTATTAGGGCAAAAAAAAAGGGGGGGAAATCGAATGGGGCAAAAATTTATCCGTTAAAAATAAATTGAATGAGAAATTGAATTGGTGTTTGGAAACAACAAGCTGAAGAAACGAGAAGAGTTTTGGGTTTAGACAAAGCGAAAAAAATGAAGAAAAATTGGAAAAATGGAGTTCGGTTTGATGAGAGAGAAAGAGAGTGAAGTTTTGCTGCGAGGAGGTGAGGCGGGCAGCGAGAAAGAGAGAGATAGGAGAGATCGGAGGCGATTGTTTGATGTTTGTAGTGCTACAGTAGAATTATTAAACCGTGGGTTCATATTTGGGCCGGATTGGATAACTCTTGTGTATTTACATTCTTGGATCTGGGAGCCCAAGTAATTTACAGGTTGTTTGGTAAGCTTTTTTTGTTTTGTTTTTTTTCTTTTTCTTTTTAAACAAATAATATAATAAATTGTTTCCTCTTATTCTCAATACATGAAAACAAAATGACATTTTACATCAAGTACACTTAAAGAAATCTGTTATAAGCGCTCGTCTATTTGATGTTTTCTGAATTTTTAATTTTTTTGGAAAAAACTTAATCAATTTACGAAAAAAAATGATACTAATGTCGTGGCTCAATGATTTAGTAGATGTTTCTCCAACCCATTACATGAAAATTTTCCTCCATGTAAAACGGGAATTTCTTTCGCCCTGGAAGTTATAATTCAGTGAAAATGCATTATTATGAATTATGATTTTCTAAAGGAAAAAATAAGGCCTAAATCTATCAACTTAAATTTTATTATTTGATCATCTTGCCTAGAGCGTTGAAAATACAAATATTCGTGTTTTAAAAAAAATAAAAGATCAATTTATTAGTCTACAAAAATGAAATAGAGACGGTAATTTTATTATTATTGTTGTTGTTGTTATCTATTCCGCATGTTGTAAAGAGTGCTTCTTATGTTTTTTGGTCTTTTTTTTTCTCTTTCTTTTTTTACCATTTCCGTTAATAGATTAATTAGATAATACTCCCTTTGTCCCAAAATTATTGTCCAATTTGAGATTTCACTTATAGTTCATTTTGAACTAGAAATGAAAACACAAACTGGATAATAATTATGGGACGGAGGGAGTAATATGATAACGCAATCATCTCAGTAGCAACGTACCACAGTACCACTACATGTACTTGCGTCCGAGGATACTCATACCTACCTGACATCACTAGTCATACTCATACATACATACCTGGACCGCTGGACGTCACATTGTTCCATCTTTGTGTCTTTTTTTTGGAATTCTGATTTTGGAATGACAAAATCTTACATAAAGAATTTGATACAAAATCTTGTTGCAAACATTATTACATACAATATGTCGTCATCAGTATAGGATAAAGAGATAAACTATCCCAAAAGGAGGAGACTGGAGAACCGTGGGTACAATCAAGACAGTCTTGAGGCTGCCGGGGCCTGGATGCTCCTTTCGCCTCACCAAACAGCTTAAGCGCGTTATATAAAATCAGAAAATACATAGTATGGATTTCTCTGCAACCTCTGCACTTAATTTATGCAGAAACTTAAATTTCACCTGCCTTGATGCGGTCAAATGGGCTGCAAATCAAGGAATCACGCAGAGATGAACCTTTGGCATTGACTCCACTACTCTTGTCCAAATACCTCGCGAACTCGAGCAAAGCACCAGTGGCCATTCAAGACATTCTAATCGATATCAAATAGACTCAGTTCTAATCAAATTTTGAATTTTTTTTTTGTTCACTCAGTCCTTTGATGGAAAATTCTCAAATTTAAGGGGAAAAGAATCCATACATTCGGTGGTTTTATAATCTTCTATTAGAAAAGAGAAACTAATGCTATTGGTCTCCAAAAATCTAGGTTCCATTGAACTAAAAAAATTTAGCAGGATTCTGTCGAAAAACCAATAGTTTTAGTAGATAAACCGGTTACTCCTTAATTAATTACTAGATGAATCAAACGCGCGAAGCGCGTACGGATTTAAAAGAAATATGTATGCAGAGATGAGTCATTGTTCAAAGAATTTAGCTAAAACATCTATAAAATACATCACTAACTATTACTTACAAATTATAAAATATAAAAGACTTAAAACTTTACTAAAATCAAGAATATATTCATGTTTCTAAATTTTTCTGTTAAAACCAACGTTGTTTTTTAATCTTGCAACTTATCTTCATGTTTGTGATTAACCAAAACTTGCACATTAAAGTTCCAATTGGGTTGTCAGAAAAATAAATCAAAATAAACTTGCAAAAAAAAAAAAAAAAAAAGAGAGAGACAAAAGTTGGATAAGAGATAAGTAAGAAGAAGTGAATAGAAAAATGAAAGACTCCAAATAAAATATGATCCTTAAATAGTTTTAGTAAAATATATTGTAATGGTTACTAAAATAGTAGATGAAAAGACTCCAAATAAATGAAGAAACTAACAAAAATAATGTAGTTAAAAACAAAAGACTAAGGAACATGAAAAATACAACTTCCATAAAAAGAACACAAAATGAAGGGAAGATGAAAAGAAATGAAACGTTTTATAATAAATAATAGAAGATGAAAAGAAATGAAAATTTCAGCAATCTCAATTAAAGATTGCGATAAATATAACAAGACAAAAACGAAGAGGTGCATTAACTTTGGCTTAAAAAAAAAAACTAAAAATTAAAATAAACAATAAAAAAAAGAAGCATGTGAGAACCATGTGAGAGGACTACCACTCCCAATCCCATATTGCCTAATTATAATATTAGTGATGTCTAGTCGTACAATGCGCCACCCTGGCCCAATATATCTGTAAATCTTAGAAATGTTTGTATCTGAAAAAAAAATTTTATATTTGGCCCGATATATTTTAGAAAATTTTGAAGAATTTAGAAATGTTTTGTAAGTGTGATCATAGAAATGTTTGTATTTGGCATAAAAAGAAATTGTATTTGGTCCGGTACATTTTAGAAATGTTTGAAGATTTTAGAAATGTTTTATAAGTGTTACTTCTTAAATATAAATAAACTTGATCAAATATATGTCTTGAAGTAAATGCTAGACAAAATATAAAAGAATGCCAATAAGTTTAAATATTAGTAAGATAATTTATTGACGTTCTCCATTGCTTGTGCCAAATCAATACTTAGTTTTGAAGATTTATAATAGCTTTGTAGTAAGCTTCCTCCCAAGAGTATATGCTTAATTGTTGGAACTATTTCTTTCAAAAGTTTATAGGTAGTAATATATTAAAAATATGATTTTGAAACTGGTTAATTGTTGAAACTGGTTGATCACAAATATGGGAATGAAAATAATGTAAATTTGAATAGGTTTCAAGTTATAGCGAAAAAGAACTCACTTCACCATGGCAAATAAAAAAAAAAGAAATTAAAAGATAGCCCATTAAAAATTGAGAAATTTATTTGTATAAAAATACAAATAAACGTAGAAACAACATTCCTTCCCTCTCCGCTTCAAATTTATAAAAGGCTTCCCCATAAATTAATTAGAAGAAGCGACCTGAACTATTTATATGATGAGGAATTAAAAAAAGTCCAAAAATCAAATCCAAAAAATATGTATTCTTGAAAGCCCGAACACAAAAAAAAAAACGCGCTTCATTTACAAATAAAATAATAATAATAATAATAATTGGTCAACTGAGAATATGAAACAAAATCAAAAGCAATTAAACAAGGAAAAAACACACTTCATAACTGACCATATACGAAAAAAAAAAACCCAGACTCCATAATTAAAAAAAGAAAACCACTCTAATTGAATAAAATATAAAAAAAATTTAAAAAATCACATTTTGTAACAAAAACCCAATTAATGAATTTAATCCAAACAGAACTAAAATCATACAAAAATTCTAGGCTAACTAACCATATAAGAAATCACATTATATTACCTGACAACGGCTATGGTAGCTGTAACGGATGGACGTATAAAAATAATAGTAATAACACTATTCTTGAACGGGAAAAACAAAAAATAATAAAAGACAAACAAATGATCTGTGGAAGTAAAATCATTTAAATTTTAATACCAGTAATTGCACCACCACAACGGCCGAAAAAAGATCAATGAGAATTTTTTTTTTCCTTTGTGTTTATATAGAGAGGTAAAGAGGTATTTTTTGAAGTCAAAATTTTATTCAATTAGGATGTAGTTGATCATCACTAATGAAAAGATTGAACATGCTAATTGGAATTGAGTACATTTCACCACATATTCTCAATTGATGATTGATGAGGAATTTATTTTTTATTTTTTATTTTTTATTGTGGAGAAGGGATTGATTAGGGAGTCCATTGTGATAGAGATGGGGATGAGGATTTGGGTTTTTTATGAACCCATGTTTTTTTTTGGTGAAAATAGGAGGTGGAGGTGAATTTGGACTGCATTTACCTTTTAAGTCTTCTTTCAAAAAAACTTTTTAAGTCTATGAGATGTGGAAATAAAAATGTATTTAAAAAATATGATATAAAAATACTACATGACAAATGGTGGTACTTTTTCTTAAGTGTGGTTTTTGTTTCTAATATAATAAGATATGTTGAAGAGGTTGAAATCTACTTAGTATTAAACTTGATGCTCCCATGAGATCTACTAGCTTGATAGATCACCGTATCAAACTTTATGCTCCCATGAGTTCCGCCTTTTAAATTTACTAGTTTGATACCAACATTGCTAGGAAAGTGCAAACCGTGACATCAAATTTATAGTTTGATACCAACATTTATACCAATGGGCTTTGTTTGTTAGGTTTTTTTATGGTATTTTTAAAATATTTAAATAATAATTGTCCCATCCCAACATATCTTTTTATATTTCTAATACATTTTTTTACATTCCTAATATAAAAAACACCTAAAAACACACACTAAAAAATAGAAACAAACATACCAACAAAACCTAATTGGAACTATGACATTGCATATATCCACAAATTTTTTGATGAATACATGTATTAATTTTGAGATTTTGATTGATATATTATTCATATATGTGGACAATACATAAACGAGAAGGCCAATACACAAATGCACAAGGGGAAAACAAAAAAAAAAAAAAAAAAAAAGAAGCACTCTTAGAACAAAATAGAATCGAAAAGTACAACCAAGTATATTCTCCACAAATCCCAGATTACAAAATCCAGTAAGGAGATGGTGTACATCCTAATGGAAATGAGGAAATGCTCCGGAGAAAGACTGAGCTTTGTGACACCTGTTAAGCAGTCAAAAAACCCATTGGTTGCTCAAACTTGCAAAGTAAGCACGAAATGACCCAACAGTACCACAGAGGAGCCATGACAATATTCGACGCACTAACAGTCATCCTCCTCTGAATATATTGACCATCATTAACACCTGAAGCACCAACATAGTAACCAGTGAGGCCATGAATAAGATTCTCATTAGAAACAGAGAACACAGACTCCAGACTTGTTAACTCACATTATCAACGTCTAGATCGCCGATCATCTCGGCTATCATCACCACGTCTTCTGCTCCCACTGGAGTAGGAATCATCATATCGACCTCTTTTTGAAGATTCCAATTCTCTATCTCTATGATGCCTTCTACTCTCCAGCTTCTCTTCCAACTTCTCCCCTTCTTTCGCATGCTTCCTTGGTGCATCTTCATCTCTTTTGTGTTTTCCCCCTTGTCGTTCATCTTCATCCCTATGGCTTCTTTTATTCCGTCCATATGCATCAGAATATTTCTCGCCATCGTCATCTCTTTTGTGTTTTTCCCCACGCGGTTCATCTAAATCCCTGTGGCTTCCTTTATCCCGTTTAGAATATTTATTTTCATCATCATCTTCATCTCTTCTGTGCTTTTCCCCTCGTGGTTCATCTTCATCCCTATGACTTCTTTTATCGCGTTCAGAATATTTATACTCATCCTCATCTCTTCTCTGTTTTTCCCCTCGCCGTTCATCTTCATTCCTATGGATTTTTTTATCCCCTCCATAAGTTACAGCATATTTATCGTCTTTCCTACTATCATGCTCCAGCTTACTCCTCTTCTGGCCATCCCTTCTATGACCATAATCATCTTCATCTCGGTCATTTCTATTCCTCTTAGAAACTGGCATTTCAGGACCAGCATCTTTCACTGATTCATGCCTTCTTGAATCCTGTCTGCTGGAGTTTTGCGTCTCCCGCCTATCATCACTAGCCTGCAAATAGTTTTTCTCTCTGTCATGTGCACTTCTGCCAGTTGAACTTTTTCCAACATCTTTGCAAGGGTCGGCATCTCTAGATTTGTTATCACTTCTACGCCTATTATCCCTCTTATCATTCTCTGAGTCACTTCTGTCACTCCTCTGGTGCCTGTCCATATTCCTTCTTCCATCATCTGTATCCTCATCTGAATCATGTCTTCTATGAACATCAATCCTGTTATTCCTCTTTTCGACATCATGATCCACATCAGAATCACCTTTGATGTCATTCCGCCATGAACTCTTTTCCTTTCTCTCGGTTGCTTTATGATATTCTTCTTGATACCTGTCCTTTTCATTACCAGTCCTTTTGGTTTCCATTTTCCTGTCACTGCGAATATGTTCACCTTTTTCTGACCGAGAATTTCTGCTAGATTGACTCCTCTTCTCTAAATGCCCCTTCCGCTTTTCTGAATCACGATCAGATTCATCTTCAGAATCATGGCGCCTATTTCTCGAAAGCTGCTTGGCTTTCCGACGCTTATCTGTATCACTATCTGATTCATCTTCTGAATCATGACGCCTATCTTTTGATATTTGCTTGACTTTCCGACGCTTATCTGTATCACTATCTGATTCGTCTTCTGAATCATGACGCCTACTTCTTGAAACCTGCTTGACTTTCCGACGCTTTTCTGACTCGCTATCAGATTCATCATCAGAATCATGGCCCCTACTTCTTGATACCTGCTTGACTTTAGTCCGCTTTCCTGAATCACTATCAGATTCATCCTCGGAATCATGCCGCCGATTCTTCGAACTCTGCTTGACTTTCTGACGCTTTTCGTCATCGCCATCAGATTCATCCTCAGAACCATGGCGTCTAACTTTTGGAGGCTTGCCTTTTTGACTTTTAGCATTAGGCTTTTCATCAAAATTCCTTCGCCGAGACTTCTCACGTTCTACATCAGATTCGGAGTCTGAACTGTAGTCTGAATCAGATTCATCACTGGTTGAATCGCTCTCCTCCCTTCGGCTCCTCCTCTTCTCCTTCCTCATGGACCGCTGCCCCCTCTTCTCAACAGGAACATCAGAATCATCGCTAGAATCAGCCCTTCTACTTCTCCGATCTTTTTTTGTGTGTTTTAATTCATCATCTGAATCAGAAATTTCCCCAGGCTCTCTTTTTTGTTTACTCTCACGAATCTTTTGCGCATTAGAGTCATCTCTTCCCTCAACATTCTTCTTATCCTTCATACCATTTTTCGATTTGTTTCCTTCATCTTCCATTGTTTCATCGTCGCTTCCTTCTTCAGGGACCGAATCCAGTTGAAAATTCTTCTTGGATGTTTCGACCCCGATACCTAGAGCAGCCTTGAAGGTTTCTAACTTCTGCTCCTTCAATGCAGCTATCTGGTGTGTCTGTGTGTCTGAAACCCTGTGAGAGGAACAAACACATCAATCCACTTAACAGCACTAGTACTAAACAAAAATCGAAATAGTAAAACATGCAGATGGCAAGAGCAATTACCGCCAATAAAATGGAAATCAGGAAAACAACAGAGCAATTAGACAAACCAATTCAACCTTTAAAAGTATGCGAAGCAGGAAAAAGCTTTCTCTTTTATCATCGCAACAAGATATAAATATAAACTCAGAAAACAAAACACAAGACACTAGTAAAGTGACAGCACAAAACAATCTTGAAACAATTCCCCCCATTCCGAAAAACTCAACAAATACACTCCAAAATGCCTCAGAAAAACATATCAACACTATTTTCTTCACTCAAGAAACATACGTAATTAACAAAATTTAAAGACTAAAAGATTAAGAAAACGGAATTTACTTGGAGGTCTTGACAGGAGCGGAACCACCACCGGCAGCCTCTTCCGCTGCAGCAACAGCCTCTAGGGTTTGACGAGCCTCCTGTAACTTTTCAGCAACTTCGCTATCAGTGTATCCTTGATCAATAAGCTTCTCCTCGAGAACAAGAAGCTTCAGCTGGATCTGGCGTTTCCGGTCGTGCTCAAGGATTTCCTTGTTAGCTTTCCGAGTAACTCCGGCGGTTCCTTGACCGTCGTCGAAGCCTCGAATCGACGAAGGATCCGTCACCACTTTGTTGGATTTCCCCCTAATGAAGAACTTGTTGGTCTGAATGTATCCATTGGTGCCGGATCCTCGCGGCGTTTGCAGCCCGATTCCGTTGTACATTTTGAATCAATTTTTCTAGGTTTTCGTCTGATTTTCTTTTCTGCCAAGAGGATATATGAAAGGGATGTCGTTTCTATTTTATTTATCTTTTCGATTTTTGAGTTCCTTGTGTCATTTTGAAGGCGGCAAAGAAAGAAGCCCAAACCTCAGTGACCGCTGAAATTGGCCCGATAATTTTTATGGGCTTGGACTGGTGCTGGACACTAAATATCATGGGCTGATTTAGTATTAAGTCATTAGCGAAGACGCCTTTTTTATTTCTGTGAATGATGAGTTTTTGTAAATTTTATCTCATAATTTTCAGTAATATTTCACCAGTTCTATTTTTTACCTTTCAGACGCACACGTTGAATTTCTCATATTTATAAAATTAAACGAAAAAAAAAAATTTGAAAACTTGAAGGTGAGGATGACACAAAGATGTTGAAATCTAATTTTGTTGCAGATTATCTGCCTTCATCAACTGTCGTATATTCATTGGAAGTACAGCAGTTGAACAAGTCACTACCTATTCTGAAATCGTGGTTGAGGTATGACATTGTCAGTGTTGTTTTGCTAGCGGAACATTTTAATTTAATTTATTGTTAGGCATAATGTCTTTTTTCTATCAAGAAAGAAAATCTTTCTCCTTGGGCATTAATAATAATTTTACTAATGGATGGATTCCTGTGATAGAATAAATATTCAAAAAATAAGTGAATAAAGTAGATTCCCAGCAGAGCATGACACGTCAATAGTACCCAACCCAAAGTTAATTGGTAGCTGAAGCACAATGTCAAATGATAGGACAAACGAATATCAAATTTGTGGCCAGTATTCATAAGACAATCTTTTAGGTTATTCTCCTCTTCTCCTCAATTCCAACTTCAAATCAAAAGCCTGCCCAATCTGCCATTATTTTGATTCAACTAGAAAGAAAGTTATGGCATCTTCATTCCTTCAAGGAGCCCTCCTTCAGAAATCCACATTTCTTGGCCATCCCAATACCAACTTATTACCCAGTTCCACCCACAAAAATGGTTCTTCTTCATCTCCAAAACAAATTCACATTGTTTCAATGGCAAAATTCAACCCTCTTGAAATCCTAGGAGGCAGAGGCCTTTGCAATGGAGAAGCAGGACTTCAGGAGGAACTCAAGAAGAGTGTTACACCATTGGAAACGGCTCCAGCAGACAACGTTAAGAATCCAGAAACAGAAGAGGAGTCCCAAGTTTCATCATCATCCACAAGTTTAAGTGTTCCGGAAGAGGGATTTGAAAAGGAGTTACAGGGATTAACTGGTGGATTTCCAGGGGGAGAAAAAGGACTCCAGAAATTCCTTAAAGAAAACCCACCGCCTCCAAAGAAAACAAAAGCACAAGCAGCAACAGCAGTTGGGTTTAACCAGAGTCTAGTCAAGAAGCCGAAGCCGCCAGAATTCCCGATTTTGTTGCCTGGAATGATAGTGATTGTGAAGAATCCCAACAGTCCATATTATATGTACTGTGGAAATATCCAGAGGATCACTGATGGCAAAGCTGGCGTTCTTTTCGAAGGCGGTGTTTGGGATCGGTTGATAACTTTTCGTCTTGAAGAGCTCGAACGCCGCGAGAAAGGGCCACCAATGGTTAACCCCAGGTCTGCAGTACTGGAGAAAATCTTAGAGAAGAGGGCAAGTTCAAGTTCAGAGTCTAGTTAGTTCTCTCCTGCATATGTCTATATAGATCATCATCCTGTAAATTATGGAGCATGAGAACATTTTGAACTGGTGTTTCGAGGACTATAATAAGTAGTATGCATTGCTTCTCTAGCTGTAGACCTGGTTTTACCGTTTTCATGCAGAAATCCGAGTTGCCGAGATACGCTGAAGGATTCAAAATCACTGCCTAACTAAAATGCAGAAACAAGGTTCCGGAATAAGAACACCAATTTTTCTCTCACGATTGTTATCAACCAAATTCAGCAAGCAGTCAAGCACCAGTTACATCAAAAGTACATCGCAGAAAGTAGCATTTTATCACATATGCAAATATCAATTTCCAGGGATAACAAAGTAGACCAAATTCTCTTATCTTAAATTAGTACAAAGTAATTTGCTTTCAGTGACATACAATGTCAAATTCCCCAGGAAATATAAACAAAAAATCCACAAAAATGTTGTTGGCATATGTCCGTCCACGGGGATTCATGCTACTTCACAGACCGCTGCCACCCAACTGCACATAACAATACAGTAACAAATGGAAATGAGAACAATATGAACCAAACATTAATAAGACTTATTTTGACAGAAAATAAATGAACACTCTTCAGACATTTATGGACACCAGAATTTAAGTCTTTATCCCAGTTTATTTGTCTGATGGTACAAATCTTCCGAAGACTAAAAAAAGAAAGATAAAAAGATGTTCCCATATCAAAACCAAGATTCGACAAAGATCATCACTAACATGAAAAAATCCAGGTTGACAAGGTAACAGGTAACTGAGAGCTCACTTGATTATACTTTCTACTGAACCAACCGTAGTTAATCTATTCATAATAACTCAACAGCATCAAATTCTTAATATGAAAGTTCACATTCTATCATGCATATACTCTTTTACTACGGTAATATGCATAAATTTTGGGTTTGTTGTATCTTGGTGTAACTGTTAATTTTGGGTTCTTGCCGTGCATTGATGTAACTATAAGCTGTTCTCCAATTGTTCGCCTCCTGAAAATATGAAGATTAAATATGTCCCAATTTCACCTACCTTTAACCATAGCAGGGTCATGGCAAGAAAACCTACTGTATGCCTGAGCTGTAGCTCAGCTTAAGCATATGCACAAAAATCTAGGACGTGGGATTAAACATTCCAGAAAGATCACTATGGGAAAGTACTACATACCAGGATGGCCTCAATCTCCTCTTGGGACAATGGAGTTCGTTTTGGCTGGTCAGAGGCCTTTCCACCTGGAGTCATACTAGGGGGCCTTGAAAAGAAACCTTGAGGAGGATTTACTGATGAAGCTGTTGCTTGAGTCCCTGATGCAGATCCTGCAGAAGAATCAACTTGTTTTGTAGTTTGAAAAGTGAAGGTTGCAAGCAGTTTGAGGTCACTCAGCAAAGTTTAATAAGCTTCAGTATTGCATTATGATTTTCCATGTCAGAAATTCAGGGACAGAAAAGTCACTGGATTGATTGAGCAGTCAAAGAAGGGTAACTCTTCACATAAGTTGTGAATACAATTAACTACTAAGGAAATTTCTAAGGTACATGAATAGCATCCACCAATATCATCTTATCTTGGTTCGGTAGATTGTTTAGAAGTTAGAACTAAGTGAACACCTCAAACCATGTAAAGGTTATACTTTAAAATCTCAAGAAGAGTTAAAAGAGAGACAATGAAAAGAAAAAATGCAATTTTTGCATACACATTCCAAATGCAAACGTGTTAACAAGTGATTAGAACTTTTTATTACATAATTAAAAAAGGTGTCAAACTTCAATGGCCCTAAAATGAAGCAGTAGAAAACACTTAGGATTAGTATCCCTAAACCAGCTCAAACCAGAGATTATAAGCATACGTTTCATATGAAACGACCAAAGTTCAACATCAGCTCTCTGTTGACAAACACTACCAAAGGGTCTTTCCTTCAAATACAAACTATCCCTCCACAAGAACAAATCCTAAATCTGCACTTGTTCTACTCCTATGGAAAATCAGTAAGCTATGCAAGGTGCTGAGGGAGGTTGTATCTGAACAACATCAGATAAATTGTACATCTGGCACAGTACAATTGCCACTGAATCAACAAGATCTCGGCTTAGGAGAATCAGTAAAGCTTTGTGCAAGATACTACTACTGCTATGAGGGAGGTTGTATATGAACACAAGCAGGTAACAGCGCCAGAAGGGGGCACAGGGACAACAACCCCCAACCCACCCCCCACCCCCTCCCCAGACCACGGGGAACCAAAATTTTTGAACTTCAACCAAACCCATTAATGTTCGTACCCATAATCTCTCTCGTCAAACAGATGAAGTACTTAGCCACTACGAGCCTATTAGCACAATAAGTATTTCCAGAACAAAACAAGCTCAACCAGAATTCAATTTTTCACACAAAAGGGATGAACAAGGTCTGGAGATGTCCTTTTGATTGATCAATGCCCACTTGGAAAACTAGGAAATTCTTAGGGGATGGACATTGCTTATAATGCGAAAGCAAAGAGCAGCAAAAACAAGAACAGGACCGTAAATAGCTATAGCTATATCCTGGAACAAGAGCAAGCCTCCCTCCCCATTTCATTGTTATTTTCATTTACAGAATCCAACAGTCAAGCTTTGATGCAAAGAGCAAGCCCTTTATGTCACATATCTCCTTTATACATACCAAAAAATCTGGTCAAATTACAGGGACCCCAAGTACCAAATAAAAACGCCGAAAAGATCAAATGTAATAAATGCTACAATCTTCACGTCAATGAAACACGAGAGTTTCAGACTATTTTCTCAATGCATATAACAAGAGCAGCGCAGCTCAATCCTTAATTAAGTGAAGTTAATCAACAAAAAAACTGAATTTTTCAAATACGAACAAAAGAAACTTAACCCGGAAAAGAATAAATTAAATTGCCGAAAGATAGGATAAACCAACTGATCCTAATACTAACAAGAGATGATAAATCTGGGGGAGAGAAAAAAGGAACAAAGCAGCTCACCGGCACCGGAGGGTTTAGGATGTCTGGGAGGAAATTTGATGCGAGGAATTCTCTTCAGAGCTTGAGCCGGCCCGCCCATTTCTTCGATCGGTTGCGAAAATCGTTGGGTCACGACAATAATTGAAATCAGATTTCGTTAAACTGAGAGGACGACGGAAGGTTCTTCTTTTTCGTGTTCATTCCTTTTTCCCCACGGTAAAACCTCCATAATTACTAATTACTAATTACTATTGTTGGACATGGTAAAGCATTACATGCGCATTTTCTCATTCGACAGAGATCTATTCCAAAAGTAATTGTGTTAAAATCAAAAATAGTTCCCAAAGGTTTAACTTATTATTTAAAGTATCCTTACTGTTTTTAAAATATTAAAAAACGTCTTTTAATCGTTAAGTCAATTATCAAATAGGTCATTTGGAAATTGAAAATTGATTATGTGCACGAATTTAGTCAAAAAAAAAAATGTCCCAAAAAAAGGACAATTTTAACCTGTTGAAACTCTCGTTAAATTTTTTTTCAAACTCCAAATGAAATTAATATTCACTTTAAGCGGAATTTTGTAGTTAAAATTTTATATTTGATTTTATTAAAGTTTGGAAAAAGTTCCAAGAGAATTTTATGTGGCATGAACGTTTTGACACTTTTTTGGCTGAGTTCATGTGCGAATATCAATTTAATATTGTAGGAAGACTATTGATAATTAGCTTGCCAATTTAGGGATTTTTTATATATTTTCTTAGATAATAAGGGTGTATTAGATAATCAACAGAGGTGTTAAGATATTCACCCAAAAAAGTTAAACATGTTGTATTCCAAAAAAAAAAAAAAACCAACAAAAATATGTTCGAATGCCAAAATTACTAATTGAATCGAACACGCTTCCCGTGTCACAATATAATATACTATCAGTAATTAATATGTATAATAATAATTTTCTTAGAACTTTTTTAATAGTGTGAGCTCTTGAATATATAAATTTGAATATTTTATCTCTTTAAAATATACTTTATTTTAGTATGAAAAGTACACATGTTTATCCTATATTTTGTCAAACATTTACAGTAAATTAATATCACCATAAGTTGATTGATTTCGATCAAATTTCCCATCCAATTTTTTTTTATTAATTTAACACCTAATCTTAGTGTTCAAAATTGTATATTGGTCCTAAAATCTTAGCAAAAAAAAATATCGAAAATGAATTATAAAATTCAACAACCTGTGAGATGTTAAAGGGACATCGTTGGGAATACCTATTATTAATCAGATTAAAACCTTATATATTTGCTTTTAGAAATATTATTTGTAATACTATACATATTCAAAATTTTGAAATTGTTTGGGCCCACGAGAGAAAAAATAAATTAAATCAATTTGCTTATTTTTATCAATCAAAATTATCTCCAGTATAAATTTTACAGGTGCAAAATTTTAAATTACACAAATTAACCTAATAAATACGAATAAACCAATGACGCTATCAGATTTCTCAATTACATTGCCTTCCAAAAATAATTAACAAAAAAAATCTTGTAAAAGCAAACAAAAAAAAAATTCTTAACGACAATCATAAAATATGAACACAAATTAACAACTAAACATTACCACTGGTAGCTGTAATAACAGGAGATGAAGGTCGGAGGGTAAGAACCGAAAGAAATATGACAAACACGTAATATATTTCAATGAAAAATTCATAATACTTTGTTTGCCTGTTTTAAAGTGTATCAAAAAAAAATTCCAAATAAAAGAAAATCACTTTAGTGTAATTCTATAGATCAAATAATTAAACAAGGGGAAGTCAAAGAGTTAAAAAAAAAAAAGTGTAAATGTAGAATGGTTGTGAAGATTTTACCAAAAACCAAAAAAAAAAAAAAAACCCCGGAGAGGAGGGGAGTGGGGGAGGAGTAGAGGGGGATAAAAAATGACATAATTTATGTTCCTTCCTTTAAAAAAAAAAAAAGGCACCTCGCTAGTAACTCGTGGACGTGTTTTCCGGGTTAGCAAACCAAATACATCTACAAAGAAATGTATGTTAAAAAACCAAAAAAAAAAAAAGAAAAAAAAAAGAGAAGAAGAATAAGATGGAAAAAAAAAAAAGAAGAAAAAATTTATAACTGAGAATGTTCGACTCCTTGAAAGCACCAACTATCGATTTACCCTGATGTGTACAATTGCAAAGAAGAGTCCTTTTATATTTGGATGAAATATGCTCTTCCTACTCTTTATTTTCATTTTTTTTTTCCTTTTGAAAAGGTTTATTTTCATTTGATACTAATTAAAATGGCCTATTGATGAGGAGACTTTTCCAATTTATTTAATTTTTAAATCCCTTTTACCCTATTAAAGCAAAAAACAGGATGCTGATATGGCATTTTCTTATTAAAATGTTTTGGCTCCAAATGCACCATATTGCATTAATCATTCTGCCACGTGTCACCTCCTTTTAAAAATAAAAAATATATTTACAATATTAACGAAGAGATCAAATGGTCACGTTCATTCAAATTTTGAATTTGACAGTGTATGAAATTTTCCTTCTCCATTTATTTAGGACTTCCGAAAAATTAATTTCTGGTCAATCAATTATCTTCATCAAAAACTAAATTCATTCCTAATCAGTTTTGATTATTTACATATTGATTTATTAGGTGGGACGCCCCCGGGTATTTGCCCGGGCATTTGCCCGGGACAAGCATCTAGTTAGGTGTTAAGTCATTAACATGGATGAGTAAACTAGGCTAATCTTCTATATACTATACTAAGGCAAAAACCAGAGAGAGAAAACTAAAGGCATGGAGCACATGCCACATAGGATTTAATCCTATGTATCATTTTCTTAATTTCTTAGACTTAAAAATGCACAAAACAAAATAATAAAATAAAAAAAAAATAATAAAAACCAAACCCTTATTTTCATGAACCAAATCCTAACACAGAGATTGATTGGAGAGAGTACCAAACCCTAACAAATTTTAGAGAGATCTGCATAAACCTTATCACCAGTGAATTTAAAATGTCATTTAAAAAAAATAAATTCCTGTAAATCCAGAAGCAATCATGTTTAAAACTGAAGTCATTACATATTTTATAAAAATACAAATTTATGTAAAAATATCTAAATGTGTATGCCTTTCCCGTCCATCGGAAGGGTCTAACACCTAGTAAATTTTATACACATCTAAATGAATAAACAAAATTATTAAACTGAAAAAAAAAAAGAATACTGAAAAATTTGAAAAGTTTTGTTTAATTAACACATGTGGATGGAGGATAACGAAAGTTTCATGCCATACAAATGTACAAACTTAAGACCAAAATGTAAATGAAAGAAATTGATGTTATGTTTACTCTTTAATTTATAACTCCATAACCCTTTCAATTACCATTAATAAACAAATTAATTTTCTCATTAAATTAATTTATACAATATAGCAAGAACTTGTCATATTCCCCAAGTATTATAGCGATAAGAATAGTAAAACTTTGAATTCATTATTGTGAGGAAAAAATAAGAAATTGGTTGATGCATAAATTGAAGAAAAAAAAAGTAGGGCAGATAAAAGGATCAAGAAATAAAAAAAAAGAGAAAAAAATTAAAATAAAAATATTGAATTTAAATTATATATACAACCCTTTACACACGTAGGAGGATACTACCAAAGTTTAGAAGACAAAAATTTATATATATATATATATATATATATATATATATATATAGTTTAATGATAATAGGAACTTTTTGACCCATTTTTCAAATCCAATTCTTACAAAAATATTATTATTGACTCAAATAATTGGTCAAACCTAAAAGAACTCCTGAGGAATGTTACTGAAATAATATAAACAAAAGATTGATGATTAGAATAAATCACAAAACTTAAAAATTTTATGATTTTTTTTTTTTTTTTTGCGAGAATCAATTGTGGCCCAATGTTTTGATGGGAAGGCTCATGGAAAACATGGGGAAATAAAATTTAGGATGGGTTAGGGTGAGGAGCGGTTAAGAAAATTGTAGGTACCCCAAAAAAATTCTACTAATAAAAAACGCACTACAAAAGTTTTTTATATGCAATGGAATAATTGATGATGAAACCTATTTAAATATAAATTTCAAGTAAAAGTACAAAATTTTATTTTTTATATTTTACTAGATTTTCCTAGTATGTTCTAGATAATATTATTTCTCATTTAAAAAATGAATTAAATTTTAAAAAAGAAGACGTACTGTTCTATAAAATTATTAAATTTTATAATTGTATTTTTCGATTTGTACATATTATCCTTGAGCAAGAACCATACTACTTTATCTGAATCTTTTCAATCTTATCGGATATTTCAAAGGAGACGTTATCAAGTATAGTATTACTGTGTTCTCAAAAAGTGCGGTATTGCTGCATTACTAGTACATTTCACTTGCCGCAATTGAGCTTGCTTGGCTCATAGAGGTGAAGAAATAATTAGGATGGTTTGTTAATTTTTTTGGGCTCTCTCTATTGATAATCGATGTTTTTGTATACCCCGATAAGATGTATGTCATCAACCGGAAGTCGTCAAATAAATTGAAAGGATTAGATCCGAGATACGAAGAAGAAAGAGAAGACGTTAGAAATACAGAAAGATTGGAATTGGGAACAACAGGAGAGAGAGAGAGAGAGAGAGAGAGAGAGAGAGAGAGAGAGAGAGAGAGAGAGAGAGAGAGAGAGAGAGAGAGAGAGAGAGAGAGAGAGGAAAATTCAAAATTGTAATTCAATACTCAATTTTTGCTAACGAAATTACAACCCCTTGTAGACTATTTATAGTCCACAAGTTACAGAAAATACCAATAAGTCCTTAACTATAGAATTGAGGCAATTGAGTCCTCAATTCATGTCAATGTAAAATTTCCAATGCAAATTCAATGGGCCAAACCTTAATTATTACTCCCTCCATTCGAATTCAATAGACCCATTTACACAAATACGAAAATTAAGAAAAAGCGGGTGATTGGTGAATGAGTCGTTGACACTCACAAAAGAAATAAATACCTACTTAAAACTATTAGCTAGTGGTAAGTAGGGTCGTTCCACAGAGACGGCAGTTTAACTGCTTAAAATCTAATTATTGTGCAAACAATGGAAAATGAGCCGAACAGATTTGTCATTTGGGAGATTGAGAATAGTCACTTGACAGAGTGAAGAGCAGAAGGGCTAACCACCTTCCTA